AAAAGTGCACACTTTATTTCAGGAAAACTAAAGATTTTCACAATAATGTATTATTTTTCTATGAGAATGGTTACCATTATTATTATTTGGGAGAATTTAACACTTTTCACCCATTTCTGAACTTTGAATCCATGATTACTTCACCAATTTATAACATATCGTGAATCTTTTTGGAGATATTGTATTTAAGATTGTAAAGAATAGATTGGTAGGTCAATTGTACATGTTGCTTGTAATTTTTTCACCTCTATTGATCTGATTCTGCCTTTATATAGGTGTTAAAATTTAAAATTTGAATTGTCTAAATTCATTAGAACTGAATTGAATTTCTTTAGATTACATTAGAATCAAAATGACAGGACACGATATGAGAATAAAACATTCTAAAATTGGGTCAATTTCCTTTCGATTTCAATTGATTTCTTTCAAAACTTCTCCAATTGTCTCCTTCTAGTCTCTTTAATCATCAAGAAAGAGATTTCTCAGCCTTACACATATCCCTATTATAATGACATTTGTTTGTATATATACATACTCATATTTGTATTATATAATTTGATATATTTGATGTATTGACATATGAAAATAATTTTAACCTTGTTTGCATTTATATCGAAAATGTAATTCAACCTAAATATAATACATGAATTTTTTGTGATCTGAAGTCACCTAAAAGTTGTGATGACAATGGACTGTAGCAAACTTAAAGAGAACTCATTCCAGATAAAATATTACTGTCCCTCAAGGAGTACATTGTCATTCCATGTCATTTAAGAATGCAAAGCTTTAAGTTATATTAGCAAAAGGTACCTTCCTAAATTTTATTCCACAAGCCCAAACACAAAAATTCAAAATTCAAAAAATACATTAATAAAACTTTGTAAATTTTTAATTGAGGCTGGGCAAAAAATGTACATATATAAATGTTATTTTAATGTTTGTTACTGTATTAGTTAAGTTTGTCTCTTGTACTCTTATGCCCTATAAGGGGTGAATTGAGAAATCAATAAATATAAATATGTAGTAGAATGTATAAGTTTATTATATCATATACCACAAATGTCCTGATTAATATGGAAAGGACGATTCTCGGTTTGGAGAACGAAGTTCATCAATCTAAATGAGCATTATCCCTGCTTCTGACAAATTTGATTTTTTACATAATATAGATTTGAATGTCTTCTTTTGAATAGTCATAATTTAATTTGGGTAATATTTCTAGATTTTTGGCAAAAAAATATTAGCGCAGTACACTGATGAACTTCTCTCCCCAAATCAAGACTTGTATTTTATTGAGTCCGTCTTATTGAGCATAATCCCTGCTTCAGACCAATTTGTTATTTTTACATCTTGTAGATTTAAATGTCCTCTTTTGAATATTCATAGTTTAATTTGGGGAATATTTCTGTATTTTTCATGAAAAAAATTATTAGCCCAGGAGACTGTTCTCCAAACCGAGAATCGTCCTTTCAATCAAATGTAAAATTTAATAAAAAAAGTGCATGTTAAATCTATATCACCTGAATGGCTATAATAAATAAATAAATACATTTTTTAAATCACTTCATTTAAGTAGAGACATCTTAATTATTATTAAGAGATAATCAGATCTAGCGAGCAGGCTGACAAGAAATTGTTTCAATTTTAGAATCTTGCTCATGTCATTCCTTGTCATGTCTATTTTCTAAAAGTGCACACTTTATTTCAGGAAAACTAAAGATTTTCACAATAATGTATTATTTTTCTATGAGAATGGTTACCATTATTATTATTTGGGAGAATTTAACACTTTTCACCCATTTCTGAACTTTGAATCCATGATTACTTCACCAATTTATAACATATCGTGAATCTTTTTGGAGATATTGTATTTAAGATTGTAAAGAATAGATTGGTAGGTCAATTGTACATGTTGCTTGTAATTTTTTCACCTCTATTGATCTGATTCTGCCTTTATATAGGTGTTAAAATTTAAAATTTGAATTGTCTAAATTCATTAGAACTGAATTGAATTTCTTTAGATTACATTAGAATCAAAATGACAGGACACGATATGAGAATAAAACATTCTAAAATTGGGTCAATTTCCTTTCGATTTCAATTGATTTCTTTCAAAACTTCTCCAATTGTCTCCTTCTAGTCTCTTTAATCATCAAGAAAGAGATTTCTCAGCCTTACACATATCCCTATTATAATGACATTTGTTTGTATATATACATACTCATATTTGTATTATATAATTTGATATATTTGATGTATTGACATATGAAAATAATTTTAACCTTGTTTGCATTTATATCGAAAATGTAATTCAACCTAAATATAATACATGAATTTTTTGTGATCTGAAGTCACCTAAAAGTTGTGATGACAATGGACTGTAGCAAACTTAAAGAGAACTCATTCCAGATAAAATATTACTGTCCCTCAAGGAGTACATTGTCATTCCATGTCATTTAAGAATGCAAAGCTTTAAGTTATATTAGCAAAAGGTACCTTCCTAAATTTTATTCCACAAGCCCAAACACAAAAATTCAAAATTCAAAAAATACATTAATAAAACTTTGTAAATTTTTAATTGAGGCTGGGCAAAAAATGTACATATATAAATGTTATTTTAATGTTTGTTACTGTATTAGTTAAGTTTGTCTCTTGTACTCTTATGCCCTATAAGGGGTGAATTGAGAAATCAATAAATATAAATATGTAGTAGAATGTATAAGTTTATTATATCATATACCACAAATGTCCTGATTAATATGGAAAGGACGATTCTCGGTTTGGAGAACGAAGTTCATCAATCTAAATGAGCATTATCCCTGCTTCTGACAAATTTGATTTTTTACATAATATAGATTTGAATGTCTTCTTTTGAATAGTCATAATTTAATTTGGGTAATATTTCTAGATTTTTGGCAAAAAAATATTAGCGCAGTACACTGATGAACTTCTCTCCCCAAATCAAGACTTGTATTTTATTGAGTCCGTCTTATTGAGCATAATCCCTGCTTCAGACCAATTTGTTATTTTTACATCTTGTAGATTTAAATGTCCTCTTTTGAATATTCATAGTTTAATTTGGGGAATATTTCTGTATTTTTCATGAAAAAAATTATTAGCCCAGGAGACTGTTCTCCAAACCGAGAATCGTCCTTTCAATCAAATGTAAAATTTAATAAAAAAAGTGCATGTTAAATCTATATCACCTGAATGGCTATAATAAATAAATAAATACATTTTTTAAATCACTTCATTTAAGTAGAGACATCTTAATTATTATTAAGAGATAATCAGATCTAGCGAGCAGGCTGACAAGAAATTGTTTCAATTTTAGAATCTTGCTCATGTCATTCCTTGTCATGTCTATTTTCTAAAAGTGCACACTTTATTTCAGGAAAACTAAAGATTTTCACAATAATGTATTATTTTTCTATGAGAATGGTTACCATTATTATTATTTGGGAGAATTTAACACTTTTCACCCATTTCTGAACTTTGAATCCATGATTACTTCACCAATTTATAACATATCGTGAATCTTTTTGGAGATATTGTATTTAAGATTGTAAAGAATAGATTGGTAGGTCAATTGTACATGTTGCTTGTAATTTTTTCACCTCTATTGATCTGATTCTGCCTTTATATAGGTGTTAAAATTTAAAATTTGAATTGTCTAAATTCATTAGAACTGAATTGAATTTCTTTAGATTACATTAGAATCAAAATGACAGGACACGATATGAGAATAAAACATTCTAAAATTGGGTCAATTTCCTTTCGATTTCAATTGATTTCTTTCAAAACTTCTCCAATTGTCTCCTTCTAGTCTCTTTAATCATCAAGAAAGAGATTTCTCAGCCTTACACATATCCCTATTATAATGACATTTGTTTGTATATATACATACTCATATTTGTATTATATAATTTGATATATTTGATGTATTGACATATGAAAATAATTTTAACCTTGTTTGCATTTATATCGAAAATGTAATTCAACCTAAATATAATACATGAATTTTTTGTGATCTGAAGTCACCTAAAAGTTGTGATGACAATGGACTGTAGCAAACTTAAAGAGAACTCATTCCAGATAAAATATTACTGTCCCTCAAGGAGTACATTGTCATTCCATGTCATTTAAGAATGCAAAGCTTTAAGTTATATTAGCAAAAGGTACCTTCCTAAATTTTATTCCACAAGCCCAAACACAAAAATTCAAAATTCAAAAAATACATTAATAAAACTTTGTAAATTTTTAATTGAGGCTGGGCAAAAAATGTACATATATAAATGTTGTTTTAATGTTTGTTACTGTATTAGTTAAGTTTGTCTCTTGTACTCTTATGCCCTATAAGGGGTGAATTGAGAAATCAATAAATATAAATATGTAGTAGAATGTATAAGTTTATTATATCATATACCACAAATGTCCTGATTAATATGGAAAGGACGATTCTCGGTTTGGAGAACGAAGTTCATCAATCTAAATGAGCATTATCCCTGCTTCTGACAAATTTGATTTTTTACATAATATAGATTTGAATGTCTTCTTTTGAATAGTCATAATTTAATTTGGGTAATATTTCTAGATTTTTGGCAAAAAAATATTAGCGCAGTACACTGATGAACTTCTCTCCCCAAATCAAGACTTGTATTTTATTGAGTCCGTCTTATTGAGCATAATCCCTGCTTCAGACCAATTTGTTATTTTTACATCTTGTAGATTTAAATGTCCTCTTTTGAATATTCATAGTTTAATTTGGGGAATATTTCTGTATTTTTCATGAAAAAAATTATTAGCCCAGGAGACTGTTCTCCAAACCGAGAATCGTCCTTTCAATCAAATGTAAAATTTAATAAAAAAAGTGCATGTTAAATCTATATCACCTGAATGGCTATAATAAATAAATAAATACATTTTTTAAATCACTTCATTTAAGTAGAGACATAAAATTTTATACTTCTCTGATTTAAGCTGTATCCAAAAAGACTCACCTGATACTAAAACCTTTTTTAAAAAATTCACTTTCTAAAATTAAACTTTTGAATTCACTGCAATAGTTGCACCTATAGAACTAAGCTTTCGATGTAGTTTTCATTATTCCTTTCATAATATTGAAGAAATCGAAAGTTTCAGCAGTTCCAGTAGCTCGAAAGTGTGTCTCTGATGACTGATTAGCGATTGCTTTTATCCCAGTGGTTAGATCAGATTGTGCAGCTTAACACGTGCCTCTTCAATGAAATGTGACTACGCCAACAATAACACAATCGCAAATTAATTTATCTAAAAGCATAACCAATGACAGTAATACCAAGTAGCATAAAACTTATTGCGTCATGAAATATGTTCAGATAGACGCGAGTAACTTTCTTCTTCTATGAAGAGGAAATCTACACTTCGTCTAATTTTTCAGGCATAAATAAGAATCAAATTGGAACATTACTGTTAGTACAAACGTGAAAATATCGGGGTTTTATTGGATTTGTGTGGTTTAAGCAAGGCAAAACTAATGGATCTAATTCAATGAGAATAAACAGTTGTACTCACTTTACTGGTTATTACCTGTATGATCTCAGTTCCATTTATAGTTCTTGGCGATAAAGTTTAATTTGACACCTAATTATACGACAGCTTTGAAAGTGGGAAGAAAGAGTGAAAGGAAGGAGTGACTTAGTTTTTTCAATTTCTTCCTTAAAGTTTCTTGAAATGATCATTTCAAAAACTGCTTGAAACACACTAAATGGAATAAAAGTGTGTGATAATGGTAAAACAAAGCATTCAATATGCTACATGCCACTACCTACCCTTTGTTACAGACACTGAATGGTGATGTCTGAACACCAAACACCATCCACAAAAAGTTGGAGACTATAACAATATGTCACCATATGATGTGGTGACATCATGTGAGGTGTGACATAATGGTGACAAACATACTAGTAAAAGCTTTGCCTAACGAGGTTAAACACCCACAATATACTAAATAAATAGTGACATCAATTATATTGTCTTGGGAATGTATGTGGAAGGGGAAGATGGTCTTTAATCTTAGTACAGTAAACCCTATATACATTGAACACCATTGAACACAAAGAGCCACAGTGTTCACTGAGGGTAGGTGTTCATTACAGAGAGGTGGTTTTATACAGTCAGTGGAATATGTTCTGAGAAAGGATGTTCAATAGACATAGGTTTTCACGAGAGAGGTGTTCACTAAGACAGGTTTTACTGTCTCAATTACTAAACAAACAATTATTAAACAGTAATTTCATGTTAAACGATGTAATGGATGAAGTGGGAGGAATCAATCAACCTATAAATGACAATATTTGTACACCCCCTCCAGAAGTCTCCATTGAAGAATGTGTTAAAAGCCTATTAATTAATTTCAATTATGTTCCTCAATTATAAAGATAAGAAATTTATGACAATTTGATTAGCTTGTTTAAATTGCCAGACAGTAAATTGAATTAACCCTCAGAAATATATACCAGAATTTCTCGGAAGTTTATCCACTGGGAAATATTGATTTTCAAGGACATTGGGTATTAATTAAAAGGGAAAATATCAAAGCTATTTTATATAGCATAAGAATCCTTTTATCAATGCTTCACCTACTTGATGGCGAAAATTGCCTGGGTTTTATAAGGGTTATTCACCTGTCTTTCAAAAAATCACCATGGTTATTAACGAGAAACTCAAGTAAATCTCAGATATTCAACTCCATATTTGTATAATATCTATCATAGGCCATCCTTAATATCATTTATTTTTGAGAATATTCAAATTTGTGCATTCAGCAATGCTTTAATTGCATATATTTTGAATATCACAAAAAAATTCCTGCACATAGAATTTTCTATGTTTACAATATATTTCTGCCTCATTGGTTTAGCTGTGATATTCCTTTCAATTGTTAATTGCTATAAAATTAGACCCAGTTCTGGGTTGCTGTACTGATATACAGTGAAATCTGTGCATATTGAAAAAAAAATTTCTGATAAAAAAAGTTCAATGTTTATAGGTGTTCACTACAGAGAGGGTTTATACAGAACTCGGTAGAGTATGTGTGGAGGTAGTGTGTCTATGTGTTATTCTGATAACTAAATCTAGTATAAAATATGAACAGCTTTCAAAATAGACCTAGTTTGATTTTTATAATATCATATCTGGTTTTAACCTTTTAACCTCGAGGAAGACAGGAAAAGATGCCACACACGCAATGGTATTTAATTGTATACTATATCCTTCCTCCTCTAATCATTTCCAGAAACAAACAGCTGAATTCATAAATGGTATATGCATTAAATGTGATGCTCCTGTCCCCCAACAATGGATCTTGGATTTGGGATGATGTGTTTATAATTTAGGGGCGCGACAATTGTTGGACTTTTGATTTTGTGAAACACAGCACTGTTTGATTTTAATTAACATAATAGTTCAATGCTATCCTCTGGGTCTCTAGGAAGATGTTAGATCAATTTACCTTCGTTTAACATGTACAGGATATTTAATATCCCCCAAACATTTTAGTCTCACTCGCAAAACACATGAAATTATCCAGAATTCATGCTATATACCTTAACAGTAAATATGAACTTTCAGAAATGTTTAAAAGGGCCAAATCCTAAAATTAGTGGGTGCATGCCTGTTTTCAAAATCTCAGGTAGGTGCTGCGCCCACTTGCTTTAATGCTGGGGAGATCGCGGGATATATTTGAACCCGCGACCTGCCATACCTGAAGCGACAATTCTGCCAATAGACCAACTGGTCAATTAGGATAACTGAAGCAACAAGACAGTCAAGTCGCAAGCATTCAGGAAAACCGGGAATTATTTTGTATTGCATGAAATGTTCAATACATACACCCCTTCAAAACAAATAAACCCTTCTAATCCGAAAATGTAAACATCAACGTAGCTAATTTTATCGAGTCCCTTTAACACTGAATAGAGAATGAAACTATATTTGTTTTACGTAAAGTTTCACATGAAAAAGTGGTAAATAATTTGTAATATTCTATTTCAATAATAAAATTGAACACAGGAAATGGAATAACACACTTATTCAACGCTGTCATGTTTAATGTGCATCACATCCTACATACCCTGCTAGACTCAATATAAGATGAAAAGGCATTTGCCTTTGCAATGACATTACACTATTGAGCAAGTAATAAAGCGTCTTATATTTAGGCCACATGTGTGACATCGACCCAAATCGTATCCTATAAGTAGTCAGCAGTGGCTTATATGACATAAATGATACTTTAGAATTTACCCAGCATGCCTAAAATCTAAGCAGACTTTCACACCAATAGACATCACTGAAAATTTCAAATCAATCTGATAAATGATAGAAAAACGAGACACCACCTGTCTGCCCAGCAAGCTGACAATAATATCATACCCCTTTAAGGTACAACACAGTATAAGGGGAGGCATCAAAAGTTCGATGTCGGATAGAAAACTAAATAAATCTAGTTAGGGGGGAGGGGGTTCAAACCCATTTCAGTTTGCTATCCGACAAATTTCAACATTTCAAATTTTTGGCAATTTTGACTCAGAATGCCTTGGAATGGTTTAAAAATAAAGATTTTACGTGATGCTTTCTTTGACGAGATCATTCCAATGGATTCTATTCTATCAATAGTTGTTAAAAGCCACATTTTATGATAGGAATTAACAAAAAAACTAGATAGTGTTTAGCAATAATTTTTCAAATTCTCAAAGCGGAAGTCAGCGATCAACTTTCATGGTATTTAGTTTTTTTGGGGGGGGGGGGGTTCAGAGTCAAACTAGATTTATTTAGTTTCCGATCCGACATCGAACTTTTGATGCCTCTCCTAACCTTTATACATGTACTTAAATATGAGCATTCTGTAGATAAACTTGACACAGGAAATACAGAAACAAAGGTGCATCTTAGTAACGTGATAAACAAAAGATTCAGACATAATGGAACGAAACAGTGTGTTCCAGTGGGGTAATTATCTTCACATGGATATGCAGTGACAAAGAACTGGAGCATCACACAATAAGAGTACATCCCTCCTCTAATTAATTATTGTTTCATACACACTTCAGGATTCCCTAAGATCTTATTCATTTTCCTGAGAAAAGGTTCACACTTTCGAGCTACTAATGGGATTCAGACAGGCCCGTAGCCATATTTTATCATGAGGGGTCTACTTCAGGTAGCCAGAATTTTCGAGGGACATGGGGAGGGAGGGGGATAAAAAGTAAAGTACATAACCAAACTAGAGCTACAATATGAAATTTCCCAAATTTCTGAATTTATTTTATAATAATGATATAGATAAAATATGCAACATGTCACAATCTAAGAAACCACAATGTATAAGTGATCTCCCCAGCATTAAAGCAAGTGGGCGCAGCACCCACCTGAGATTTTGAAAATAGGCTTGGACCCACCTGAAAATTCATTTGCACCCACTTGAAAATGAGAAAAAATGTGAAAATTTGGCATATTTTGACCAATTTTGGTCTGAATTGTGAAAATGAGGATTTTGCACCCATCTGAGAAAAAATCCTGGGGAGATAACTGACAATGGCATATAAATGAAGGTTAACTAAATGTCAGAAAAAAGAATCTTGTAAATAGAAAAATGTGACCATATGCAATAAGGTTACTGTATACATGATTAAAGAAAATACTAACAGACTTCCTAATGATTATGTACAAAGTGAAACTTGTTTCAAAATTGATGTGTCCCAAGATGCTAGTAAATAATTCACTAAGAGTAGAACAAAGATTATTGTACTTGAAGCTAAATATAAAGTTTTAAGAGTTCAGATTTGAAATGCTTCTTAAAATTTATCATTGACTAGAGTCAGATTTTTTAATGTTATCAGATTGCATTCCAGATTAGAGGACCGGACTAATTGATTAAAGGTACATTCCTTGCCAGACCATCTCTCATCCTATATGGTAGCTTTAACCATATATAACAAAACATGTAACAAGGCATTAACATGACAAAATGCCACCAACTAGTTGCTCACAATATTATGAGTTCAAACTTCAGTCAGATTTGAATTTCTGAGAACTTGAAGATGATTTTGAAAAATAAATTGCTCAATTTAAAACAAATTGGAAAAATACCTTTTATAACCTTTTTTTTTACCTTGAAAGAAAATTGGAAAAATACCTTTTTTAACCTTTTTTTACTTTGAAAGGTCATCAAAGGTCAAATCCTAATTCCAGAGTCAGATTTGGGTGACATAAAAATGTTTTCATATTTCTAAATGATCAAAATTGACTTTATTAAAACATTTTCCTGTGTTTTGTTTACTATGGAAGAATATACACAGTGTTCGCGCTAGCCATTTAAATTTCTGAGTCCCAGGGACGCAACACATTTGAAAAATGTGAGTCCCGTCTAAATTTTTGTGCGTCCCTCATATTTTGTTATTAAAGTGAAAGTAAAGTGGGCGATAATAGAGTGCTTCCGCTAAAACTGGATAAAAATGACATGTATTGTAATTCTATGCATTCTCCCGATAAATATCTATCATTTGGTTCTTTTCACACAATTCTTTACTAATGCTATACCAAAATAATTCTCCGAAATGAATGAAAGAAATATTCAAATTAAGAGCTGTTTTCACATTTTACCAACCAGCGATCTTCAAGGTCGTGTCTAGGTCGTGAACTTTTTGTTTCATTTTATAACATTTCTCCTTACTCTGACGACTTTTAGATGAAAAACGTTGATCTATCATTAAATAATTATATTGATGTATAACATTAGATCGATATCTAACGGTTCCTAGTGGAAGTAATTAAGGTTATCGTGAAAAACAAGTCTCAATTCTCAATTTTGAAAATAATGTTTGCGTACAACAGATTATCCAGCTTCGGTATACTCCGGAATGACTCGGAGGGCACCATAGCCAATCAAATGCTGCGTTTCAGACTAGAAACCCCGCGAATATACTGAGACACTTCGGTAGCCAATCGAATTTGCCGACATAAACATTATCGAGATCAAGGAAGTAGACGATTTGAAAATTCTTCAGAAAATCATGTTTTATCACTTCTACGCTGCAGTAAAAGTTACCTGATGGTGGTATAGAATCTTTGCGTCCCAAGGACGTAAGTTATTTCTGATTTTTCCGTCCGACCTCTTGAAATTTCCGTACAAACGAGAAAAAATGGCGTCAACGCAAACACTGATACAATATATATGATTAGAGCTACCATATCAGGATAGAAATGGTCTGGCCAGGAATGTCCCTTTAACCCCCTATTTGCTCCAGAGTCCAGAGTGGGCCACTAAGAGTGATTTCCATATCTTTGACAGGTTAAGTATAAAGTGACATTAGACCTTTAGATACTGACACATGTTCCCCGTTAAATATTCAATATTCAGAATAGGAAGTTCTTAATGCCATGTAAAAAGGAATACAATGAATTTGCTTAATACTTGAAGATTTACATTTGTTTGACATGAGCTCAAAGACAAGTTGAACAGTGCTTGAAAGTCCTACATTATAATGCTTTACCTTGTTCAAGGAGTATTTTTACAATTAGTGTCGTTTTAAATATGCTCTTTGCATTCATAACTAATGAAGATGTAAGATTGAGACATTTTGGGAACTTTATAGTTGATTTGATTTATCAATTAGATTATATCAAGAAAAGGATGTGGAAATTGTGACATGTCCGACTTCACATTTGAAATGACGCACATAATGACAATTGACTAATGCGTTAATAGTCAAAATGCCCCTAGGCACGGTTTGATTTTTAACCTTCTTTTTTTTTAAAGTCAGGATGTCTACCTCAGGCAATAAGCACTCAGGGTAAATGTTAAGGCAGGCAGCCATTTTGGATTTTCCCTTCAATAATACCGTTTTTGATTTCTATTCATTTCTGCCTAAAAATAAGACGAATCTAATAAAAATAGACCTAATTTTGAAAAATAAGCCTTTTAGGAAAAAGGAACCTCAATATTTAAAAGTGGTCCATATTTCTAGGGCAACAAAATGGACTTTTAAGAAACATTTTTTTCTTCCTCCTGATTATATAATGTAAAAAAGTTGTAAATTTTTAACTTTTAAAATGCAAAATTTGGTTAAGGTAGAAAAATTTACCAAATTAAGAGGGAACCCCCTTAATAAATTTAATTGTACAGCCATTACCATTAACACTAGAATTCGGAAGAAATTCAATAGCTTTATCTAATAAGAATATTTCTGGGAATCCCTTCCTCCTTGCTGAACAAATGCCAAAGATCCCCACCTAGATAACTTCAATCTATCAAATATCATTCCATCCATAATTGGAGGCCTAATGATACAAATTATTGTTTATATACGTAGTAATCTGTGGAGAACATGTGGTCATTTTGAATCAACCCACATGAGGCATGAAACTCACGTGGCAATCGTACCACGCGTTGCATACAGTCAGGTCAAATGTGGACCTTAATTATAATATGGTCTGTGTAAACTGCAACCAGACTCCCATTGTTGCTATAATTGGCTAGATAATAACAAGTTGTAACCAATAAGAGCCAGAGTATCTTGTAGTTTGCACACTTCAATTTTAATATCATTATCAGAACTCACCTTTTCTAAAAATACGTTGTCTTTAAGATGATTATTTTGCTTTGCGCTTGTTATGGTTGCTTAGCCCACTGGAGAACTCTGAGATCATATCAAGTCTGCGCTTCTTTTTTGGCCCACTGAACTTTCCGCTGCTACAACAGAATAAATAGACTATACTAGATCTTGATTTTAATGACATCAAAAATGAATGATATCCCATTTAAAATCTACATACATTGAAGCAGTTTTAAAAATTGAATTTTGGAATTTTGAAAATATGCATAAGAATAATGTATATTGTATATATGAAGGTAGATTTTGTCAAGGGTCAGTTGACTAATTCTGGAAATGCTTAAATGCAAAACTATTTGAAATGCCCTTTTAAATTAAATAGATACATGGATAAGATGAAAATGTTGAATCCTTGAAAAAGTCAGTACATTTTCACTTATTTTCATACATGTACTTAAAAAGTCAGCACATTTTTTAAGTGTATAAATTCTTCAGTACACACATGAACTATTAAATATTCTTTCTAGTACAATTGGTATCCCTGAGTGATGCCTCTCATTCACGTTTTTGGACGGACTTCAATTTGACATCCAAAGCCTAGAATTAAAACCAAATCCATGACTGAATAAATGAATGTAAGTCATTATAGCTTACACAACATGCATATTGCAGTTATAACCTCAGTATTCATGATATTATAACTATAGATACTTCTAGAAAGTCATCTTAGGCTAAATAGTTTACAATCAAATAGCTTACACTACAAATTAAACTATTGTAATCCGGGGTGCATTAATTTGCAATGGAATTAAAAGGTTTAACCTGATAGCCTAACAATTATGGTACATCCATTCCTGAATGACATTATGCAATCATATTAACAGGGAGTTGTATGCCAATTTAAGGTTTTACATCCCTAAGCAATGTTATGAGAGACTACTGCACCAGCATTTTAAAATTTAGGTACAAATGTCTTACAGCATAGAAAACATACTGGTCAACAGACTAGATGCGAGTAGAAATGATTTTGATTTTCCTCATTAAATATTCCAAATTTTGTGATATCAGCTATGATATCATATTTGAATTTCATGTAAAATGACATCTAGAAATTTGGTTTTAAGAATCGTCATTGGAATTTTAGTTTTCTTTTAAAATGTGACTTCTAGGTCTGGTAGATTCCACATAGAGTCCATTTTATAAAATCATAAAAAGTGAAATGTATTTTTATATATTAGAGGCATAATATTTTCTTTTACTTGACATGGTTTTATTTACAATGGGCCAGATCAATATGGTTAAATAAAGTTGATACATAAATCTAATGAATATTGAGGTTTGGATGAACTGTTTCAGATATCTGCAAAATGACCTGAATTCGTCACCTGGTGGTGAAACTGGTAACTACCTACTAATACTTTGGTAATAACATTTTGCTTTACTCTTCACTTAATACTTGACAAGTACAAGTAATATAAAGCGTTCAATTCTTTTTTTCATGCAAATTCTAATCTAACCTATTATCAAGATGTTGTTTATTTTTGGTTTACGCGTTTATTGTTTATCGCCAGATCTTCAAGATTCTCAGAGCTGTGATATTGACATCAATATGTAATGACATTATGTGAATGAAAACAGGAAGTATAACACGATATATAAATGGAAGTATAAAATTCCCGAGGGCATGGATTCAACAGGTAATGTCTAAGGAGACCAGAATTTATTGCAAAGAAATCCTGCATGATTAAACCTGCACATCGCTCCAAAACGCAATATGTTGACATATATTGTTTTTACATTTTTAAGCTCTAATATGAAGTTTATGTAAATAAAAATTTTTTTTTTTCTGCGTTATATCAAAGAACAATCATTTAGTTAAAAAAAATAAAAAGGCGGATACGGGCTTCGAACCCGGGCCTCCCGCGTGCTAAGCGAGAATTGTACCCCTAGACCACCGTCTTCTTGTGAATGTTGGAAGTAAAATAAACGCTACTTATTTTGAATGCTATGATTCGGAAGTGACGTCACGTTCTTCATTTAGAAACTTTTCCAAAATCATATCGTCGGCGCCGATCGAAGCAATTCAATGAATAATCTTTGAAATGACACATTTATCGTAAGTATTTCTACACAAGATTTGCCCCATTTGTTCATCATTCTATAATCTTTCATTAAGCTCAAAATGATAAAGTTCACCCCCGAAACAACCCAAGATTGCGTTTCGGAGCGCAGTCCAGCTTTAATAAAGATATTTTTTAATGTTGAAAAACATAATTGCTTTGCTAACTTATTGGGAAAAGCTATTCAGTCTTTACTCCCCCATATCAGATCTCCATTTTCACAGTGTGAGACTGCATGAGAATGGGGAGAAAGACTACATGCACTAAACACAAGACCGACATCATAAATTATAATCAACTAATAATCAATTATATACAGATATTAAACAATCATATCCTGTCGCATGTTTAGTCATTTCAATTTCAAATGATACCATCCGCATTCAAATGAACTCCTTAGTACAAATTTGTATAATTTGGGAATATGCTATTTTTCTCTGTAAATAGACAAAAGATGAATTAATTAACAAATGACTCTATTGATCAATAGGAAATCCCACATCCTTTCATTGTCACGTTGCTGTTCTGGTTTGAGTATCACATATAATCAATAGCGATTGCACGATTGTAAAGTCAATAGAGTTATTTAGTACAATCTGAGACAACTAGTGAATTATTTTTTTGTAAGAAATATAGTGCTGCGTGGGAGATTTCTATATGTTAAAAGTTCAAAATAATTAGCCTAATTATCTATTAGTTTTTCATGATCTTAACCCAGATACTGTCATAAACATATAGGTATATTTAGTAGCTGTAACAGAAAACTGAACGTACCTGTTGTAGATTTTTGTTTATATATACCTGTATACAGAGAAAGAGTGGGACGATTCTATTATGACAAAGGTCCAAAACAATTAGGCAAATTAGGACTGGGATGATTTCATTAAAGATACATTATACCATAGGTTTCTCACCCAGACAATCAATGATGTCCCTTTGTAATTGCTTATATAATATCTCACATCTCATGAATATATCTTGAGAATAACTTATGGGTATTTCTTGCCGAAATATTGAAATAATCAACAGAACAACCAACCTCCAGAATTAAACACAATCGATTCCTCAGCTAGCGAGGGGAATCCCTGTTGAGTCAAACAAGCACCCCAAATGCGCCTTGAACCAAGCAGCTGAATCAGGTTAATGATAAACAAATTCAACGACCAATTAGATAACAGGGGGATTTCCCCGGTATATTTAAACTTCAGATTGAAATAATTTCTGTGAAAATAATTAGATCGGTCAGCACAATTGCAAAATTAACACTGAAAGCGGGGGAATTGAGACTTCTTCTTTGAAAGGCAGAGTGGTTTAAAGCTCAATATGCAAAAAGGTCCAGAGGGGTCTTGATTGTGCTATCCTATAGTATAGAGCCTCTTTAAAGTTAAAGGTTCAAAATAATTAGCTAGATTACTTATTTGACATGATTCCATTCTACCTGATTAATTCTATCGGATAAACATTGTTTAAAGGAAAGCTATTCCTAAATATATTTTATTTGTTGCACACTCCATACTTGTTGCTATTGTTTATGTATTATCAATAATGAACATATCTGGAATTTACTATTCCTTTAAATACGCTCATTCATATAGTTGAAAACAAAGATTACATGGACAAAGAAATATATCTCTTTGATCTTTAATAATTAATTCTATCTGCATTTGTGCTTTGTATTTTGAGGTCAACAACTCTGCCTATAAGGTTCCTGTTAAAATGCTTATTTCTGTTAATGTATTTTGTCAATACACATTTTGAATAAAGCTAATAACAAGACACATGGTGATAAATACAACAGTTGACTTAAGTGCAACTGCAGCGTTTTAAGGACATCCAACATTTGTTAAACCATATCTTGGCACTTGTCTGATTTTGCATCTGAGAGATGTATAGTTTAATGGATAAAAGGTTTTCTTGCTTTCTTATTGACAATTGATGCCTACTGTCATCATAAGCTCAAAACAGGGGCGATATACCACCTTTCAAGTGCGATACAGATACCAATTTCTAGTAGGTCACATTCTGATTTATCAGAGTCCCTCTTTACCTAACGCTTTTTTCTGAACTATTCCAAAAGGATAGTAAAGGCTGTGGATCCCACAATGAGTAGGTCACATTATTAGATTTTATTGTGGGCATTCTCGTCCAGATTAAAGGTCTTGCTGTTTGATCATCTGTAATTGAAAGCGACTTGCTAAGAGCTTTATTCAAATACGTTTGACTATAATTGCTATGTCAGGAGTACATGCCAAACATTATCATTAATTTATGAAATCATTTTATTCTTTTCAATCAACTCGTGTCTCTCTATCATATACAATCAGTACAAAGGATCAACTCTTATTGGAAATCAGAATGTATTCAGTCCAAATTCAATTCCATAATTTGGGTTTTATTTCATCTGGCTAGTTCAGCTTGCAATTGTGTACATTGCAGTATTTTTGTAGTCCTAATGTATTACAATCTTACTTGGATTCCTAAATTACAGTATTTTGGACAATTTCTATTCTCCCATACACATACCAGAAAGGTATGACCTGGCAGGCCCGTAGCCAGGGGAGTTCGATGAGTTTGAGCAAACTCACCCCCTGGCCAAAAATTCTTTCAAAATCATGTAGTTTTTCACCATTCTGAGCACTTTTTAAGTGATTATGGCCAAATTTTGGACCAAAATTGTCAAAAGTGAACCCCCTGGAATTTTTCAAAAAGTGAACCCCCTTGGCAAATCCTGGCTACGGGCCTGCCTAGTAATGAATGATTATGGGTCTGAGCCCCAAACCTGTCTCTCCCCCATCGAATGCCAAAAGTCCTATTAGTTGAATGACTGATAGTCAGTTTGTTTGATACCCCTAACTAGAATAATTGTAGTACTGTACTACTCAATTTTCTCCCTGATGCATTGATAACTCCAAAATATATTTTGGGCTGTGTGATAAAAATGACGAGCAGAATATTTCGAATAGAAGCAATTTAATGTGACTGTTCAGTTGATTGTACAGAGTGTCCCAAACACAACAGGACTTGCTTCTTTTGGGACACCCGCTCCATGAACATATAAAACTGTGGACTGTACAGAATGTCCCTAACACAACAGGACTTGCTACTTTTGGGACACCCGCTCCATGAAGATATAAAACTGTGGACTGTACAGAATGTCCCAAACACAACAGGACTTGCTTCTTTTGGGACACCCGCTCCATGAACATATAAAACTGTGGACTGTACAGAATGTCCCTAACACAACAGGACTTGCTACTTTTGGGACACCCGCTCCATGAAGATATAAAACTGTGGACTGTACAGAGTGTCCCAAACACAACAGGACTTGCTTCTTTTGGGACACCCGCTCCATGAAGATATAAAACTGTGGACTGAACAGAATGTCCCAAACACAACAGGACTTGCTACTTTTGGGACACCCGCTCCATGAAGATATAAAACTGTGGACTGTACAGAATGTCCCAAACACAACAAGACTTGCTACTTTTGGGACACCCGCTCCATGAAGATATAAAACTGTGGACTGTACAGAATGTCCCAAACACAACAGGACTTGCTACTTTTGGGACACCCGCTCCATGAAGATATAAAACTGTGGACTGTACAGAATGTCCCAAACACAACAGGACTTGCTACTTTTGGGACACCCGCTCCATGAAGATATAAAACTGTGGACTGTACAGAATGTCCCAAACACAACAAGACTTGCTACTTTTGGGACACCCGCTCCATGAAGATATAAAACTGTGGACTGTACAGAATGTCCCAAACACAACAGGACTTGCTACTTTTGGGACACCCGCTCCATGAAGATATAAAACTGTGGACTGTACAGAATGTCCCAAACACAACAGGACTTGCTACTTTTGGGACACCCGCTCCATGAAGATATAAAACTGTGGACTGTACAGAATGTCCCAAACACAACAGGACTTGCTACTTTTGGGACACCCGCTCCATGAAGATATAAAACTGTGGACTGTACAGAATGTCCCAAACACAACAAGACTTGCTACTTTTGTGACACCCGCTCCGTGAACATATAAAACTTACTGTTTGTCTTTTTGCTTCGACTTCTTAAATGATTTCCCTCGTTTTCCTACAAAGCTTCCCATTTTAGTTGGAGCCTCTCTTAGACCAAAGCTCTTGGCAACGTGACCCAAATGTAGCGTCTTAATATGGAAGATGTGTTTAACATTTACGGGGTAGGTGGCATAAGCTCGTACATAAGATGTGTAGGCTGAAAAGTAAAATGAAACAATCATTACAGGCAGGGAAATGTTCACAGGCTAAAAATAAAAGAGGTAACCATTTTAAGTCAAAGACCATAATATTCTGTTTTAGATGAAAAAACTTCCAAAAAACATTTTTCTTTCAACAATCTTTATTTCTTTTGAGCGTTTGCCTAGTATGAGTAGCTTCACCTATTATTTTTGCATTTAATTTGAGCTAATCAGCAGTTAAATTAACTAAATCAGAAAGCATGTGGGCCTCTTTACCTTTAGTTGCAAGATCCTGAAGAGTTTTATTAGAGTATATCGCTGATTCAAACACCATCTGTAATGCTGTTGCACTTTCCTGTACTGTATGTGGAATGTTATTCTACAATCGAGTACAATTATCATCAATAATTTATTTCAAACCTTAAATATTTGGATGTTGTATGAATTTTTGCATTTCTTCAAAGTTTTCTGAAATATTTTGATACTCTCATTTTATCTGTATTGACTGCTTTTTAAACTAAACTGAAAATCTTATACCAGATGTAAATTATATTTTAAATGGTTGGATGTGTAGCTGTGGCTTTATCTGTCAATGCTTGGGTAGGGCCAAAGAAGAGGAAAGGACTGATCTATGTTAACCTCTTGACTACCTGGAGTAACGAGAAAATCGGTCACAAAAATTGCTCTTTTTTGAACAATTTTCGACCAATTTACACAAAAATAATTGTAAAATGTGTACGAATGATCTTTGCTGTCTAATTTTACTAAGTTGAGCATCTAAAGTTGTATAGGTATGTCAAAAGGTGGCAAAAATGAAAAATTCTCTGGTTTCAACCAATTTTAGAGCCTGGGATTCAAGAGGTTAAGTATGCAAACAATAAATAAGTATGAGAACATTGTTTTACCCTATCTGTGTTCTTTGGTGGATTGTCCCTTATATACAGCATGGAAGTTTTTAAGACATCATCAAGCTGCATTTCAACTAAACTACAACAAGAAATTGCTTTGTGCCAAAAAATGCTTGATATTAAACCAAATGGGGTTGGTTAGGTATATAGATGACGGGTGTGTACACACCTTTTCTGTTATTCTGTGAATATTTCTCCAATATTACATATTAATCTTCACACAATATTGTAAAGAAATGCGAGAAAATGATCTAGTTTAATCAAAATTCTAAGAAATAATTCAGTAAATATAGAAAATGATTGTGCAATAGACTGACAAACTAACATGTTTATCAATGAATGTAGCAACAAACCTAAGCTTGTGTTCATTCAGTATTTTAATGTACTGCACTTCAGATGGCGTTAGGAGCAACACAGCCTGGCCCTTGGTGCCTATACGGGCAGTACGGCCAATCCTGTGAATATAGTCTGATGGGGTACCTGGGCAATTGTACTGAACGATCCAGTTCACATTGTGTAGGTCTAACCCTCGAGCAGCTACATCCTAAATATATGTACAAGAAAAATTAGAGTAGGGTCGATCACTCAGGGTTCCAACAACATGGCGATTTCCAGGAGTTTCCCTAATATTTTTAAGCGAAATAATTTCTAGATGTTTTTGGGATTTTTGCAAGTCTATGAAAATGAGTGAGAACCCAGAGCTTAGAGATGACACAATATCTCTCTTGCATACCACCTTCATTTGTGTTTGCGTCATTTGCGCTCCGAACCCTGGGGTATTTCCCCTCTTTAGACTATGTATCTTATCCATACTTATGTACATGTTAAACAAGATCTATATATCAAGTTTGTTTTTGTTAAAACCTTACTTTTTCTGATAATTTCTACTTACTGTACAAAGAAGAACTCCAGTTGGTGTCTCTAGAAAATCCTGGAACATTTTAGTTCTGTCCTGAAAGTGTCAACAACAACCATTAATCTGCTGCAAATGTTACACATTGTAAACTGCTGAAAAGCAATCTTGTCAAAAACATGTTTCAATTTATGATAATGCCATATTATAAGACAAAAAATGAAATAACTGTATAAAATTGAAAACAGAGACTTCACCTTTAGTAAAAAATATTGCTTAAATATAGCTTAATCAAGGCATTTTCACAAACAAGGCAGAACTTACTTTTTGTGACATTTCACCATGTAAAGTGAAGAGGTCTATATCAGAGTCCCCTTCATCATCGTCCTCATTTTTACACACAGTACTGCTGAGTAGACTATGATGGTATTCAACCATGTCCTGGGTTGCAAAGAACACAATCATCTTGCTGCCTTTGTTGCTATACTGAAAGCAAACAATAACAATATGTAATTTAATTACATAAACTTTTTCTCTAAACAGAATAATTTTGATAATTTTTTTTATCTATTTTCATCAAAAAAATAAACATTCACAAAATAACATCAATATTGGTTCATTATTGCTTAATCATTATTGAAACAGATTTAAGAAATGTTTTGCAGTAACAAGAATAACTCATACTTAATATACAGGTTCTTCATTTATAATCATCATAATAAAGAAAATTAGGTTTCAAGCAGGCTACATTTTACATAATATCTCCAGTCTTCTTTCCTGACAGCTCACGCAAAAACAAAAGGAACAGGACAGAGGTTTGAGACATGAAGCAGAGCAAGTAACGATACCTTGCATTTCTCTAAGATAAAAGACGTGAGAGCAACCAGCTTCAGTTTGTCGGGCACCAATAGGAAGTACTGTTTCAAACTATCGGGGATCGCAAACACTGACTCTGTCTCTGCATCAGATTTGATTTCTGCTTTGGCGCCTGTTGCATTGTCAGTAGTGACATCTATTCTCTTAGGCTTAGTTAAACTCATCCCAGCAAGTTTTTCAACACCTGAAGATAATTAGATGAATCGAAACAATAATACAGATCAGATATACATAAATGACATGTACTGTACAACACTAAATATGAAAGAAAACTTAATATACAAAATAATTAGTGAAAGAACCTATTTTAGTTAAATATACACAATGGTGCAACTACGTACTGAAGCAAAAGTCATAGATATGTGTTGTAGAGAAGAAAAGTAAAATTAAGATGAATACAAAATAGTCAAATATAAAAACTGCTACTTTTGTGTCACTGGCAAAATGGCCAATGTACAGGGTGTTCCATATGTTTCAGGAATGATGCTATGTTTTATTGGTTTTCTTTTCAATCTAACTGAATTTTTGACACAATGTGTCTAAACATGTTTTGAATAAGTTGGGAAAGTTTCATATCGTGAAGTTCAGTAGTCTTAATTATATGGTTGCTATAGTAACCTAGGGGTAGGGTAGGTGGAGCAGGTGTAACAGCGCGCAAAATATAATGAAAAATTGGTAAAAAATAGTTTTTTGTACAAAGTGTGACTAGGTATTAGGTTGTCAGAGTTGGATCAAACTTGTCAGTAATTAAACAAAAATGGAGGTGGATTCCAAGAAAGTAAAAAAAATGTCACCACCGATGATCACATCACAATTTAAACACCTGTCATGTCATGAGTCACAATGGAGAATAAACACAGGTAATTTTGGACGAGCGGCCATCTTGAAAAGTGAAAAAGTCATTAGCAAAGGAAGACCTTCGACTTAAGGCATTGTGACACACAATAATCTGTGACAAGACATGACATGTGTGAATAACAGTTTTCTGCAGCAGACACAATTAAACTCCTAACGAAACCACATGGGGACTCAATGATGGTAACCTCTAGAGTGTACGAATGGTACAAGTGGTTCAAATCTGGAATGAAAACTGAGACCGATTATCCAAAATGTGGACATCCGAGAACAGTGAGAGCGCTAAATAATGCAGAAAGGATAGATGCTGAAATAATGATGATGGCTAATAAAGGGTGTAATAACATTTTTAATTTCCAGGAATCCACCTTTATTCTTTTTAATTTCCAACAAGTTTGATGCGACTATGACAAATTCATACTTTGAACACTTTATACAAAAACTACTATTTTTACAAAAATGTCATGTTTTGTGCGTTGTTACACCTGCTCCACCTGCCCTACCCCTAGGTTACTATAGCAACCATATTATTCAGTCTACTGAGTTTCATGATATGAAACTTTAACAACTTATTCACAACATATTTGGACACATTTTGTCAAAAAATCAGCTAGATTGAAAAGAAAACCAATAAAATACAGCATCATTCCTGAAACATATGGAACACCCTGTATCTCACGCACGTAGCCTTTCTGGGCACCTTTTAAGGGCCAAAGTTGTCAAAAATGAACCCCTGTGATTTTTTGAAAAGTGAAACCCCTTGGCAAAAGCTGCCTTAATGAGCCTTGCCCTGGTCTCTAGATTTAGTCCGTGAATTTACCTGATGATAGGGTGGCAGACAGCAATATAGTCTGCCTTGATGCTTGTTGTTTCTCTGTGATAGCATGAACAATACTAGAGACATCTTTCTCAAACCCCATATCTAATAACCTAGAAGAAAACACAGAAAGGGCATTAATGTGCAAAATGTCACTACCTGCCATTTGTTACAGACACCAACCGTTGACTGTTGAACACCAACAGCCAAACACCAACCATTGAACACTATCCACAAAAAAGCTACAATCATATGTGACCACACTACATGATTGTGGCACCCTGTGTTGGTGACATAACAAAACTGAGCAATCTATGGCAGAGGTTTCAAAAGTTTAGCAATGTATTTGAGTTCTGATAGTGAAATTCACAGAAAAGCAAGAGAATTAGATGAAAATTGTCGAGCTTATGACTTCTAATTTATATGCACTTTAATCTAGTTTAGTATTGCGATACTTACAAGTATCACTTATTTCTTACCTATCAGCTTCATCTATAATGAGATACTTGATCCTAGAGAGTGATAAAGATTCTGTATTCTGTATGTGGTCCAATAATCTACCAGGGGTACTGATTAGTATATTGATGCCTTTGCGTAATCTGCAAAAAATATGATACAGTAAGACATCTTAACATGTTTCATTTGGGAGGTGTTCCACTTACAGACATACGAGCGTATTTAACATTATATCATGTCATTTGATCATTGGACTCATTTGGAAAGTGTTTCATTTAAGGAGGTTTCCACTTTACAATACTGTACATGAACAAATATGATAGGTGTGGGGATGACAACAGCAACATTTTTAGAGAACTTGGTTCGATTGGATAATGATGCAATGTCAGCATATGTTCATCCTTTCTATATTGAATTTATGTTGTTTAATTACACAGGAGGAGGGAAATTAGAGCAACAGATTTTGGACAGTCATATGTTGGATTTTGGCCATTTCCTGGGGATTTAAACAGGTGCATATGTTAGGCTAATGCATTACCTCCAGGAAAAACACTTCTAGAGATGATAAAATAATTTCAACTTTGAGATAGGGTAGATGCTAACAACCCACCCGCATGTTTTTTCTGAAATGTTTTCCTGATTTTCAACCCCTTCCATCCCTGCTTTTTTAATTTTTAATTTTTCTTGCATCAATATGTTGCATTTTGACACACAGTTAATCCCTTAAAAGGAATAAGTGATTCCTTTTAAATAAAGTGGAAAACAATATTTCCCATGTTATTTTCCCATAGGGAAAAATCATTGCTTTCAGCTAAATTTGGTCATTGGTATCTTAAAAACACCTGAAAGAATCACTTAGGCCATAAGAAGTAGATTCTTTGTTTTGCGTCCCCTTGCTTGCACGATTTTGAGTAAATCAGAAAAAACAAACACATTCAAATAGCAATAACAAGAGTCTGAAAGTACCATCGCATTTCGTTCAATGAGAATCAGACGAAATGGCGGGTAATTTGATGTGCGTCAAAATTGACAGTGTTATTGATTACTTTGGCATACATTGTGTATTTTCTTATTTTTTACCCTTGAATAATAGCTTAGGTTTAAATATATTGTATAAAATGTATAGATATGTGTTTGTAGTCACTGCAAAATGGTGTGTCATCCCTTTTTATGCCCATAAAATGTATACATATCTCAGCAAACAAGTTTGTGTTTTTTCTTGAGTTTGTGTTTGTTTTCCTTGTACTCTTGCATGATTTGGATTTTGCCAGGACGCAAAACAAAGAATCAACTTCTTATGGCCTTATAGTGTGTGCCAAATTGCTTTCTAAGTGGCTTAGTTAGGCTAAACCTATGTTGTGGTAGCTTACTATGAATTGACCCATAGTCATTTTAGATTGATCTATTATCTATTCATTTTTACTTGTCTGCAGTCAAAATAGTGACACGAAAGGGCTAAACGGCTTGCACCAAGGTGCGACCGTCAAAAAGATGAGTTTGAAAAATATACATTTTTTTAAATGATACTTGTAAGTATACAAAATAAATGCAAAATTGATATTGATGTGTAATGATAGTCCATTCGGGTGTGGTAATTTTATGAAAAACAATTATGGTAAAAAATTGGATATTTATGACCTTAAAATGCGATTTCAATTAAAAAGTTACTGTTGTCAAGGATATTATTCCTATTTTATATAGTCAGTGTTTTTTAAATATACCAATAACCATTTCATTAGTTTTTGACAAAGCAAATAATTATAGGGCTCACACAAGGATCAACTTTGTTCATAGCATTTTCAAATTAAGTGATGTTTTGAAAAAATACGAAGGTAAACTCAATTTTATTTTTTATTTGTTGAAGAAAAAAACAATTATATGTTTCTTTTCTTGTTTCGACTGAAAAATCTCAATTCATCGCCCTTGCTTCGCAAGCAGAAGAGTCTACACCAGTACGAAAAAGTCTTCAAAAAGTTGATCCTTGTGTGAGCCCTACAATTATTTACTTTGTCAAAAACGTATATAATGGTTATTCGGATATATAAAAATCATTTAATAGGTAAAATAGGAAAAGTATCATTGACTTTTGATTTTGAATAAAAAAAGTATTACGAGCATATAGTGCAGCACTTAGTTTATAGCTTGCAGACAGTGATCTAAGAGGCACCATCTTGTAGTAATGGGTGTGACAGTGATGAGACGGGAATTGATTTTATTAATGCAAGTTTTGACAATCCTAGTATTGATGGTTTATCTTACGGACGTCATATTAAAAGATACCAATTTGCATTACATCAACATCAAAGAAGTTTGATTTGTTCACAGATACGTGTCAGAGTGATACCTGTAGCAGTTGCACTAGATTGATATACAACAAGATATGTGTGAGCATTCATTGCAACATTTACTTAAGAGTTATAATTCTACTAAATCTGATGGAAGATTAGATAATTGAAGTCTATCTCTTTTGGTTTATTCAATTTGTATAGTACTTTTGCAATAAAGATACCTTAGTTTTGAAACATTAGCTGCAATTTCATTTCAAAAAGATCAGTTTTCAACTTCGTACTGATACGACGTCAGATACTGTACATCACGGCGTAACATTGTAATTGTTCATTTTACCGACATAATGCAAAGATTTACGCGATAAATATGCGCAATGCTCCTCCAAGTAATTGCAAAAGTTTTAATATTCGTGGAATCTTCTTAAAAACTTCAAGTTATGTTCAGATTAATATGCGCTTCAATACAATTCTATATTCAAAAAGGTTGTGTCACGATATACAGAATTAGAATCACCAGAAAGTAGACATTTCAAACCCTACCCGTTTTCTTCTTTGTCGCGCTTTCCTGCCCTGCGCTCTCGTTGTCGCACCGTCTTTCTAGACTCTTCACAGTGCCCCTTGTCATATTCAACTGATATACACAGACGGGAAGATATTAAGGATTGTTAAATGCATTATTTGTAATTTATTTTAACTCGAATATTTAGTTTTATTTATTTAAAGCAATGAATAATAAAGAAGAACATATAATACGCTAACGGCGTAACGTCTTATTTTGTAAAGGCTTCACTTGGGGTTGCGGTGATAAAATGATGTCTATCTCAATATATACTGGTTCAAATTAAATGAAATTAATTGTATGTAGTAAGGGGTATATTTAAAAGAGCATGCTGAAACATTGGAAAGTTTTGAATGTTTATCCCTTAATTAGAAATATTTGAACTCAAAAAATGAAACGTAATTTTGTGAATTTTTCACATGGCTTCACTTCATATTTCTTTCAATTTATACTTCTTACAGACTGAATTTTAATCGAATTGATATAGTTTTTTGATAAAAATATAGAATATGATATGCCTTTCAGGAATCAAAAAAGAATAATTCACCTTTCAAACGATTTAATGTTTAATTGATCAAAATATATATCTTGTTGGTACGAAATTCTGCCTGTCCACACTTTTTTTGCATAAATATAAGCGTTAAGTTAGCATTGTTATATTATGACGTCATCACACAGAATCTGTTTTTCTTTTCAAAAATGGTGAATTTAAATATTGTGAAAATTTGAGAAAGATCCGTTAAGAAATGAAAAAGTTATCTTCATTTTTCGTTTAAAATTAAAATCATTTTTCTTTAAAATGTTACAGTCCACACCCGGTTTTAGCATAGAAAGTCGCATAATACGGCTTGCGTGATTCTCATTTAAAAAGTCCCAAATCAGTTATTTGGAATTCTGATAGGCAAAATATTTCATGGACATACGTGTTCAACTGATGACGAAAAATTGTAGAAAAATATGATTTTGCTGTCGAGATATTGCTGTTTTAAAAGTAAGTACGCATGTAAAAATGCAGTAAAATGCCGCGATGTACAGTATCTGACGTCGTATCACTATGTTTTGTTCATAAAATGTGTATTCAACATAGGTCAAAAGTCAGGGTAATTTCAAGTTTAAAATATCAATATCTAGGATAGTTGGCATTTTAAGACATTTTGCCGATGGTGTGACCCTTCACAACCGATGATTATGTGACCTGAGGTAAAGATCAACTGAATGGGTGTAGGTAATTTCAAGGTCAATATCTAGCAATTTGGTGTTTTAAGGCAATTGAGAACAATTCTGACCCTTGACAACCGATTATTAGGTGACCTGTTGTCAGGGTCAAGGTCTATAGGTCAAGATCATTTCAAGGTCATCAATATCTAAATATTTGGCGTTTTTGGGCTGAGGTTACCCTTTGTGAATCATGAATGTGTGACCTGAGGTCAAGGTTATTTCAAGGTCAAATATCAGTATCTAAGTATTTGGTGTATTAAGGCCCTGGTATCTGCTGTGACCCCTAGCGACTCATGATAGGGTGACTTCCAAGGTCAATATCTCGCAATTTGGAGTTTAAAGGCAATTGAGAACAATTGTGACCTTTGGCGACCAATGATTAGGTGACCTGGTGTCAAGGTCATTTCAAGGTCAATATCTAAGTAGTTGGCAAATGTGGGGCTACAGTCCTATTTAATGACCAATGATAAAATGACCAGAGATCTATAAGTCAATGTCTGGATCAAGATCAAGGTCATAGCTCAATATCTAATTAGTATTTGGCGTTTTGGGACTGAACGTGTTTTTGTGAAAACAATATGATTTTTCTTATGTAAAGTCCCTGTGATAAAAATGATATCATCCAACTTCTTCACTTGAAAAGAAAAAACATCATGAATCCCCCTCAACCTTTATTTTTCAACTTATTTTTTTATGATTTCAATCTGGTTTGATTCCTTGACAACTTAATGATACACTACATGATTTTACTACTATATGTACGGGTATAAGCATCAAATGTGGCGCCACCTGTTATTAATAACATTCGTAAACATAATGCTTGAATGTATCAATAAATTGAAATTGAAAATATAAATATTTGAAAATATATCTGAAATATTATTGATAAGATCCCCACCATGTCACTTTTTGAAAAATATTAGGCTTATTTTCTAAAGTATTTTTTCTTAATTCGAACATATCAAAATTTCTTCTACGCTAATGAATTAACAAATTCTGAAAAGGGGACGGGTATTGAAATGCGATAAAGTTAAAAACCACAAGTTCCATGTTATTTTCCATTGGAAAAACTCAAACTATCCATTGTTTTCAACATAATTGTGGTCATTGAAAATTGATATCTCCAAAACTAGACTTTCATTACTATTCTACTAATGAAAAAGTTTTAGACCACTTGTTGAATAATATTTTCATGCAATTCAAATAAAAAAGAAGAACCTCTGTTGAGTAAATAATTTCAAAAAAATGTTGAGATGGGTTCCCCATTCATATTTTTTTTAATTGTTTGAATGATATTTTTCTAATCATTGAGAATTGAATTTTCTTGAAAGATAACATATTGTGTTTTTGAGAAATGTCATATTTGTATTGAGAAAGTAGTCATGGTAAAATATATGACGATCAGATATCACTTGCCATACTATACCTGGTCCTTTGCAAATTTGAAGTGAATTGTAAAATCATATCAGAAGAGAGGACATCCAAATATGAGGTCATTAGTTTAATGACTGCAATCAGTAATCAACAGCCACGAGAGTTACTTTCTCTAGTAATTCTGAATTGGATCACTATTGTATTGTATTGTATAATATGACCATTTAATTCACACTAGTTTCTTCATATGCCTGGACTAAAAAATCCCGAATCTGTTTGGGTGAAATAACCAAATGTGACCAATAATATGAGTATATTTGAGTATTGTCTCTTCACTTTCCAGTCAAAAATGTAAGATTTAAAAATATTTTTACAAATAATTGCAGTAAAACATGCAAAATATAATGCACATTGGTTATTGAAATGTAAAGATAGTCCATGAGGGTATGGTTATATTATTAAAAACAATAACGGTAAAAATTGGGTATTTCTAACCATATAATGCTTTTTATTCCAAGTTCAAAGACATTCTTCCTATTTTACCTCTGAAATGATTTTCATACCACCGAATAACCATTATATCAGTTTCTGGCAAAGTAAATAAGTGTAGGGCTTACACAAGGATCAACGTTTTTTAAGACTGTTTATGTACTTGTAGATCCCCTGCCGTTCTAAGAGGAAGAGCAATGAATTGCGATTTTTCAGTCAAAACAATGAAATAAACACACTCTGTTTATTTTGTTAATCATTTAACAAATAAAATTGTGTTTAACCTTATATTTTTTCAAAACATCACTAAATATGAAAATATTGCAAATAAAGTTGATCCTTGTGTGAGCCCTATATTTATTTACTTTGCCAATAATGAATATAATGGTAATTAAAATATTTTGAAAACATTGAATAGGTGAAATAGGAATATTATCATTAACAACCATGACTTTTGAATAAATATGGTATTTTCAGGTCAGAAATATATAATTCTTCACAATTATTGTTTTTTATAAAAATGGCCACACACAAATGAACTATCATACTTATCAATACCAAATTTGCCTCCTATATTGTATACCCATTGCTATCATTTGAAAAAAATAATTTTTTATCAAACTCATCTTTTTGATGGTTGCACCTTGGTGCAAGCCGTTTAGCCCTTTCGTGTCACCTTTTTGAGTGCAGACAAGTAAAAATGAATAGTTGATGGACCAATCTATAATGATAATGGGTCACTTCATAGTAAGCTACCACAACATAGGTTTTTGTGATTTTCTGGGGTTTTGGCACACACTATTATTCCTTTGAAGTGGTTAACTATGTGTCAAAACCCAACATATTGATGCAAGAAAAATTAAAATGCAGGGATGGAAGGGGTCGAAAATCAGGAAAACATTTCAGAAAAAACATGTGGGTGGGTTGTTTGCATCTACCCTGTCTCAAAGTCGAAATTATTTTATCATCTCGAGAAGTGATTTTCTTGGAGGTAATGTATTGGCCTAACATATGCAATTGTTTAAATCCTCAGAAAATGACCAAAATCCAACATGTGACTGTCCAAAATCTGCTAATTTCCCTCCTCTTTAGCGATTTGATGTGGAACAGGGGGATACTTCACCTTGCTTTTTCTTTCTTTCTCTGTTCACCTCCCATTATACATCCAGGTACCACCCAGGTAAACGGCTACAAGAGAGAACATTGAAATGACCCCAATTGTATGGCAGTGTATGGCACATCAACATACATTTATTTATGATTGTGCAATGGTGCATAATGCACACAACTAGTTAGCTTTAATATTTTGTCTATTTTAGAATTCTTTTTAAAAGATAACATTATTCTTATATAGTTTACAAGAATTGCTCTTTTCGTGAACTCAGTGTGAATTTGTTATGATTTCAAGATATCTACCTGTGAATTTATGTTTAATCAAGGGAATTTTTTTAAACATTGAATACTCACGCGTAATAATTTTTCGAAGGTTTCAAAACTTTGCAAAGCAAGCTGAAAATATTCAAGAATATTCTATATATGGTGAAAAAACAAATGATGATAACAGACACAGAGCAATGTGTTACAATATGCTAAATATGTTTATATAAATTTATGTCATTACAGTGAGATTATGAGTGATATAATACACTCTTGGAACTTAAAAATCAAATCTGTTTACTATTCTGTAGAAACTATTGTCTAAAATAATGAGGATCAACAAAACCAAAATAAAATAAAAATGTTGATACAGATTAATGCATTGAATATTTTAAAAGCAGTGGAAATCAGAGTTCAGGATGAAAAGCATCCTCCCATCACAGGGCTTCAAAATCCAGAATATATTCTTTCTTTTTACCCCCTGCGATAAGCAGTACTGATTCAGAAATCGAAATCTGATTGGCTGTCGCAACACTGCGACAGAAACCATCATTCTCAAAATTCATTTCGTTCGTTGCGTACCTTCACTACCTCTCTGACGTTGTTAAAATAGTTCTAAAATTCCCGGGGCACGACCTTAGAAAGCTTCAGAAATTAGTACTTTCTTTATTACGAAATCAACAACGCCAAAACTTTAATATTCGATGAATTATAACGTTTGAAAATGATTTTACCATCGAAATTGGTAATCAATGTTGTATTTGATGTGTTTTTAGGTAAAAATCTCCGCGGAGCAACAAATTGTAAAATGTCAAGATCGATAATCACTGGGTTCAACATTACTGGCATTACTACACGTTTTCAAGATGGCGGTGTCAAAATTTTCTGAAAACGCTTCAAATAATATTAAGTTAATTTCTGGCGAGTTCACCAATATCATAACTTGTTATCTAGTAACAAGATAGAGAAATATGTAAGAAATTCAATTTTATCGATTAAAACATCACATCGACATGTGGTATTCGTTTATTAGACGATTAAAATTACGAATATGGGGATGACGTCACTTCAAAACGAACTGCATAGCAACGGTGTTAATAAACAATTTCTGACCTTGCAAATTCCTAAGTATTCATTTTTAACAGTTTGTTACGAATTACTTAATATTTTTCTTATGAATGAATTCTTACTACATTAGAAATAAACATTTTATAAAATATAACGAATAAGATCAGTAGCAAACGCAAAGAAATATATTTTTTGAAGCAGGTCAAAATATTTAGAAGGGTAACTTTCGCGGGAATTTAAACAACTGCATGAGGTAAGGCACAGGAGGTACGGATGGCACTGGACGAAAGGCTCGGAGACTGAGAAACCATGTATAAGTCATTGCGCATAATTAGATCACGTGATTCAGTTTAATCGGGCGCTTCCAAATTGGTTATAGCAGGGGGAAGAAGGAGGTACGGATTCTGGACACCTGCTTAGGAGGATGGATGAAAAGATGATTGCCTGACATAATAGTCACCTGTGTCCAAAAGGCAACTAAAAGTGAAAAGTGACTGCCATTGCAATCAGGCAGCAGTTCCAAACCCTGGTAAAAATGTGAAAGAACCTACCTCTCTAGTTGGTACAAGGACAATAGCATGGACCCCATCTGACCTCTGCAACTTCGGTTTCATATCCTGAAGTGTCTGGACCACTGGTACGGCATAGGCTAGGGTCTTACCTATAATGAGCATTTTAATCATAAACTCAATCCAAGATCAACTGATATGATTCATTGAAAACTTAACAAAATAACAAGCTCAAGTGTTCTAAATTCTAGGTGGCAAGTATATTGTTGAATTGCATTATATAAATTAAATTCTGAGTTCAAAAGCATTTATTTCCCATATTTCATTAATTATAAACTACCCTCTGTCTAGTATAGACTATATTATAGTTTAGCAGCACCGCCCAAACGACTGGTGCCTAAGACAGCTCTGATTGGCTTGTTGAGTTCAGAGTGAAGACAAGCTCTCTTTTAAGAAGCAAGGTTGAATGAATGCAAAGGGTAGTAACCTACCTGAACCAGTCTGCGACTTGACCATGACATCGTGACCTGACAGGACCTCTGGTATGGTTCTTTTCTGCACCGTTGTCATGGTAGTGATGTGGTCCATCTTCTCATCCAAGTTCCTCGCCTAGAAATGCAAAATTAGATTATACAAGTACATGTGGTATTTATACATGTAAAGCTAGTATATGTGTACCAACTTACATACTTATCAACATTGTTCATAATTAAGACAGGTCTTCCTTGCATATAGGGTTCACATACAAAAAACTTTCCCTACTGATTAATTTGATCATTATATAGACAGGTGTTCCTGACAGAAAGGGTTCAATACCATGTTAGTCAACGGAAAATGGTTCTTTAAAACAGTTGCATATACACTGGTACTCACCTAGTTACGCTGACGATACGCAATTCACATATTTAGTCCCCTCGCTTTTGTGACATTGACGATCTTCATGAATATTGTCACATTGACAATATTCATGGAAGATCGTCCATGAAACAAAAGGGAGGAACTAAATAGGGGCTAAATATATAAATTGTGTCTTCATTAATATACCAAACATAGAACCGCCTGCATATTCTCAAACTAGACTATCTTCCTTAACTTTCAGCCAAATTTATTGTCCACAACTTGTCAGCGTAACTATAGGTGAGTACCAGTGATATATACTAGAGGGGTAATTCTTATCAGGAAGGCGTTTCATTGGACAGGTTTTACTGTTTATGAGAGCCTTTGACTGAACTAAGGACATCATGTCTCGGGAGAACCTCTTGTTATATTATGGATCAATACATCTATATGAGGGACAATAAACAACTTGCTACAATAACAACAAAAACTTGAGGACACAAGCAGACTTACCATAAAAGGATGAAGCTCTGGAACTTCAGCAAATTTTTCAGATGAGAAAACGACTTCTTTTACTCTTTCTACTGTAGCACTGAAAAAGGAACATTATTTTTAGTATATGCCTAGTATAATGGTAGCACAGGTGCAATCGAGCATGGAGTAATAACATTGGTAAATATCCAAGAAAATACAAGATACTGAACATACAAGACGAAGACACTGAATCGTAAAACTGAGAAGACACGTAGGAGTCAAATCAAAACAGAAACTTATACCAAACCACTCGTTTGAAAATCAATTTTCTTTGGGAGTGGGAGAAGTATAATTAATTGTATTAGTGATTTTTAGTTGGTATAATTTCTTGACGTCCGATTATTTTCAAATATTAACTGGAATTAAATGAGCTCAACCTTTTTTGGTTTGGTGAGCAATAACATTTAAGTATCATCGATACTGAAAAATTAATTTAAAAAATAATTACTCGATATAGTACATGCCCCAACCTCTCAGAAGGTAAGCTTTATCCCCCTTCACAAAACCACTCTGGACAAACATCTCATATCAAGAACTTTCTTTGACAACATCAATGAAATGTAAAACATTTGCTTACCACTTTACTTCTGGTATCTCAGGGTTGTTTTTGAAAAGCGAGGAAATAATCTGACTAGATTTGGAGAATTTGTGATGGGGAGATGCCTTCTCTTTCTGAATCTTTTTTGGCTCCTTGCTCTGGGCATCGTCAGATTTTTCAGGACTTTTGGCTACAGTCTTTGCTCTTTTTACAGTGATGTCATTTATTTTCTCGAGCTCTTGCCTCCGTTTTAGCTTCTTTGCTTTGATCCTCTGAATCTAATAAATATAAATAGTAACTGTAAGTACTTAATAATGGGGGAAACCATTGTCATCTCTACTGATTTCAGAACATATTTTCTCATCCCGAAGAACATCTATAATTTCTTTGAAAAATATAAAAATATATTTATACCCCCTTACAATACTACTTTAGAATGATTAAAGGGGCATCAAGGACTATAAAAAAATTAGGATTGGAAAGTATTTGTTTACATAGGAAGCACCATTCAAAATGGCTGATGGAGTAAATTAATTTGCATATTTGTCTGTGTCACACTGTATATACTTTGTAATTAAATGTAAAAAGGTTTTATCTCCAATTTGAAGCATGAAGCATTTGAAGGTCTACGCGTATAGCCTGACAGTCATTCCAGGGTATTTTAACAAAGGGACTTCCTAGGGGGGTACAGGGAGTTTCCTTTCAATTTTATAATCAGTTGTAAACCATAGATCTATCTTTTTAAATGTTAGGTTTATATTGTATTCTATTCAAATTCTATCGCGCCAAAGACCTCATTTTTGAGCATTTTTCCATGTGAATTTACTCTCAAGATTCAAGGTTTCCATGTTTTATTCCTCTCAGACTTGTAAAAAGCAAATTGTAATATGTCCATGTCGAATTCCTCTGAAGTTTGGTGGGACTAAATTACCTTTAATATTGTTAAATCGACTAAAATTCATTTTCCAGTTATTTGTCCCAGGCCTCTGCGATTGATTTAACCAATGTAATACCATTTCTTGTAGAAAGAATGAATTTTGACCTAAAAAAGGCTATTTCTTAGACAATTTTCCATATTTTTTTTCATCTCTGATGATGTAGATGTAGTGATTGACATTGAATGTTAAAAAGTTTTATCTCAAGAGATAGAACGATGTAGCTGAGTAATCTTTTTCGAATGAAGGACATAGAACCTTATTGCATTAGAAATCTCCTATTTATGTTGGAAATACAGCTTTATAACCTTAGTTTTGAAAAGAGCATGGTGAATTTAGGGGAAATCCACTTTCATATGCATTTGACCCATATTGGTAGTTAGAACCTTATAATAGTGAAGGGACTAGAGGTGTAACTCGCCAGAAAAATCCAACTCGAGTTCATGTTGCCAAATATGTCCAAAACTTGAGTTAATTCATTTCGTCCAGTACATATTGTAAACCTGGGTACAAAAAATTACTGTAACTTCTAGCGGCAAGTTTCTCTGGTTTAGTCACATCTAAAAGCTGTTTAACACGTTGGGGCCATAAGAAAGTGTGGTACTCATTGCAGTTATCTCATATTTCAATCAAAAACGATCTGGTATAGACGTGGCCGCAGAAAGTAAAGACTAGAAATCGCTAAAATGAACCAAGAATCTAACCAAAGAATATTTTAAAAACCCAGAAGGGCCCCTCAAATTAATGAATGGTTTTCCTGGATTATCTTTATTATTTCTACTAAAGACTGCTGGATATCGATCTAAATTTATGACTTATGATCTTAATTTAATGATAGATCATCTTTTTATGTAAAAGTCGTGTAAAGGACGTGAGAATAAGGGACCATTTTTTATTCAATTTTAGTGACTACTCTATTATCGCTTGCTTGAGTTCCTTCGATAGTCAATCTTTTTCTGATTTTTTTGGTGTAACTTGTCATTCCTCGATATTTGTTGAACTTTGTGAAGCTTTGAGAGTGTTTTTTTACGTGACGGGCGCTGCGGCGATATGGTATATTTATTCTCAAAATAAAGAAATGTTGCACGATCTCTGGGACCCGAATTCATTTTACATGCTTGCAAGATAGGCAAAACTCGCGAGTTTACTCAAGTTACAGCTAGCTCGCGAGTCGAAATAGATTGCGAGTTTCTAGAGGACAACTCGAGGCAATGTATAGGCAGCTCTGGCGAGCTGTACTCGAGTTACGGACTCGGGAGTTACACCTCTAGAAGGGATGAAATGCTAAACGCCTTGCAGTTGCCTAAGGGAAACAATCATCATTGGGGAACCTCAGCAGCCATATCTGCATGGGCTTTCTCTTGAAAGCTCATAATATCAGGAAACAGAAACTTTGAACTTGTAGTCTACTGATTCCATAAACAGAGAATCGGTTGACTACTAGGTAGACTTCAGACAGCACTACCAGTACCAAAAGACAGTGAAGTTTCAATTTGGAGTTGGCTCTATTAAGGTTCAGCTGGAAAGTAACATTTTGGTAAAAAATTGCTATACCTGCACATGTTATTTTCTGGTACAAAATTAAGTATGAAGTCATGTGTGTATTTCCTTGCTTTTTTCAGGAAAGTATCATTACACTGTTTACTTTTAGAATATCTGGAAACAGGTCAATGGAAGCTTCTGTGTTGTCTGGAAACTTTGAAAGAAAATTTGGAAAAATAGAAAGTGTGAAATATCAGAATTTCCTGGAGTTCCCATTGAACCCCTACCAGATATTCTAAAAGAAGACAATGTAATGATACTTTCCTGAAAAAAGCAAGGAAATTGACACATGCCTTCATACTTTATTTTGTACCAGAAAATAACATGTGCAGGTATAGCAATTTTTTACCAAAATGTTACTTTCCAGCTGTACCTTAATTTTAATATTTTTTTTATTTTTGAATTTTCATTAGGCCTACCTTGGTCTGTTTCTCATCTTTGTTACGATAGTTCTGGTTACCAGCTGGCCCAGTGTGAAGGTTCAACTGAATATCACTATCACCGTCCATGATATGTCTTGATTTTTCCTATATCTCGGATATATAGCTAAAAAAAACTCAAACGCAACGCGAATATTTTTTCACATGTTTATTTTACGACTTATGGGCCGAGCTACTTTACGACATTATCGTCCTTGACCTTAAAAATGGGAAGCCGCATTTTTTCTGTTTTTGGTCGAAAAATAGCTGATACAAGCAAATGGTAAGCACAATGATATGTCCATTATGTTACTGTTTACCCATTTTACCAATGTAGAAAGAATCAGATCGATTTTTGATTGGACAATGTCACAATCAAACGATACAAAAAGTGATGACAATTTTTTCAATTTTTTTTCTTTTTTCAACTTCAGAGATTTGAGTTTGTATCTAGATTTCGTTCAAGAACTTCACACCTTCTGTTTTCTAGGGGGACTCCATCAAACTTCAATTCGGTTTTCACCTGTGCTTACACTTGTGCTTCTCACTTGTGCTTATATGAAAATATACGCACAAGTGTAAGCACAGGTGAAAAACCTGCACCACGAGACCATTTAGTGGCATTATAGCGCATAAAAGAATACAAACAACATCATCATGGGGTTACCGATTATATCTACCATGACTGATTATTCAAACTTCCATGTTCTGCCACCTTGCATTTAGATAAAAAACATGGTAGACTTCAAAGATTGAAATTACACGCTGTAGCCAATTTGGAAATACACTGTAGCCCTACTGTGTGGTTTAAATAGCCACTGCCCCCAGGATTCCGTGTTTGCAGAGCGCGGACGGAATTTGCCTCTGCCCGCGGAATTGCAGAATCAACTATTTTGGTCAATTTCCGCGGAATTTTCCGCAGAATCCATATATTTTCCAAAAGTTTAAAAAGTCAGTCTTACCTGTAACAATTTGACACGTTTTCAGTCAAATCCCTTGCAGAAATAACCCAAATTATGCGAAGTGAAAATTCTAAACGCCATCGTTTGATTTCTGCCGTTAGATGGCAGCATGTATGTAGTGACTGACTACCTGACTATCACGATATTTTCCCGTTTACTGGTTCGAAAACCATTAGTTTTTCTTTCGGTTCTCGTCAGAAAGTTAAACAAAGACATAAATTAATAACAGTTATTTATATTATATAAAAAAATGCCGCGAATATCCGCGGAATTTCTGCAGAATTAGCCCTTTCTTCTTGCAGAATTCACTAATTTCACTTGCAGAATTGAGCATTTTAACTTGCAGAAAACTGGGGGGAGTGAATAGCCCAGTGACAAAGTAACCCCATACATCGAAGTTTGATAGACATGGGAGGGCCCTTACATATACATTGTACCTTTTTTGCTGTTTACAGCTTTAGACAGAGTCGCAAATTCTGCACAAGCAATGCTACTTCAGACATCTGTGATGTCTCGCTATCCACTCCACCCCCAGGGTTCCCTACTCCAGCCTATGCCATGAGCTCCAAACAGAGACACGAGACCAAAGTAACCACATTACCCAATGGACTCCGGGTTGCATCTGAAAATACATTTGGACAATTTTCTACTGTAGGAGGTAAGGAATGTAAATTATATCATTATTTAAGGAATAAATAATGATAGGCCATTCAATATGGTGAAATTCAGCACGAGTTGGACAGAATGTTGTACAAAGCACAAACCGAAGTAAAAGCCGTGTCTGTGGAACGGGCATGAAGGAAGAATACGCATGCTGTCAAGATTCTGAAGTCGGCCGGAAAAATTTTAGAATTTGTTTGGGCTGTTCTATTTTACTCCCCGTTTTAGATTTTATACGGTGTATAACTTGAAGTCAGCCATAGTTAAATAGTTACAGTAGTTACGGAGGGAGTAAAAAAGAACAGCTATCCCCGGACAGAGCCCCAGATGTGCAGCTGAGATGTGACGTCACTCAAAACAATGCAAATTGCAGATTGAATAGAGCATGGTCGTGCATCTATGGAGAATTAGAGAATGTTCTATATTGGCTATGCTGCATTCTGATTGGTTGAGAAATTCGAATAGAGCACGGTCATGTTTGAATGCATTGTAATGACCCGAGGGCGCCCCAGTGGAATGAGCATAGTGTTACAAGCCAGATAAAGAAATTGAAAGAAAGAGTGCTAAATTCAATGCCCTTTGTGGGAATCTAACCTAGGACCCTTGAATCCAAAGACTGATGCTTTACCGACTGAGCTATAAAGGCTTAAGCTGCATTCTACAGCTGGACTGTAGTAGCAACTTGCTATCAAGGGTCGTTACAGCATGTAAATGTTCTGTATTTTATTGTTAGTGAATTAAAATCATACCGTAGCATCTTAAAAGTTAGGAGAGGGTAAAGTAAACTTGGTAATAATGAAATATGGTTACCATTAAGACTGGGTTTAGCGTGCATTCTATTGTTTGATATTTTGTATATCATTAGGGTCATTAATCACCTGATCAGTAACACCCTCACTTACATTGTTCCACATATTTTATATGGAATTTATTATGCAAAAGTTATCAAGATTGTAATTGATAATTGTCATCTTTTTCAGTTGTAATTGACTCTGGCTCTAGATATGAGGTCAACTATCCAAGTGGAGTCTCACATTTTATAGAAAAGCTGGCATTTGGGGTAAGTGCCTAATTTTTCATACAACCTCAATTGGAAACACAGGAACTATAGAATGGAAATATATTTATGGAATTCTTAAACGGTGTATATTTTGTTAAACTAAATTATTTGAGGATTTCAAAGAAGTAAAATTAAACCCTTTCCGAATTCCTGTAAAAAAGTGCAGTTCTTTATTATTTTTTTAATTTTATTTTTGTTAAATAATACCAAGTAAAAATCAAATAGTTGACCAAATATTTTAAATTTTAGAATATCCTGTAAATGAAAATATCCAAAAAGGCAAAAATGGTCAAATAAAAGTACTAATTATATATAGAATATGACTGATAACCTTCAGATGTGTTTTAGGGTAAATGATTAATTCTGTTTATGTTTAAAATATTTATCATTTCCAGGCTACATCTAACTATGAAAGCAGGGATGTGATATTACAAGAACTCGAGAAACACGGAGGAATATGTGATTGCCAGGGCTCTAAGTAAGTGTTATCATACATTACATGCATATCATACATGTAAAGAAAATATGTTACATTCATCATAAATATAACATTCCATTTACAACAAGTTCTTCGGCCCCCTCAACAAGAGAGGGTTCAAAGGCTAATGCAAGACAAAAATCTAAATGGTGATTTTGATAAGTATGAATATTTTATTAGGCCTAAATAATACGAAGGAGAGGGCATAAACCTGAAAAAGGTTTTTCAATAAAAAATCAATTAGGTACAAGAATTTGAACACCTTAATTTTAACATAAAAGTTGCTTCAGCGGTGTTCATGTATTTCTATATACAGGCCCGTAGCCAGGGGGGGTTCGCAGGGTTCAGGCCAAAAATTCTTTCAAAATCATTCAGTTTTACACCATTTTTAGCACTTCTCAAGTGATTTTAGCCATATTTGGGCCAAAATTGTCTAATGTGAACCCCCTGGAAATTTTTGAAAACTGAACCCCCCTTGGCAAATCCTGGCTACGGGCCTGATATACATGTTTTTCATAAGAACATTTCCTATTGCAGAGACACCTTGATCTATGCCATATCAGCAGAGACAGCAGGTCTCAGTAAAGTCCTAGATGTTCTCTCAGATGTAGTGCTACGACCTAAGATCTCACAAGAAGAGGTAGGTAGGGAGAATGGGGGGGGGGGGGGGGGTATAAGTCGAGAGCGCTGTTTATGACCTTTTATCAACAGGGAAGTTGATTGCCCGTCAGTTAGGATTGGTTTCCAGTTCAATTAAACTCATACTAGACATGTCTCGGAAGTGGGGAGAAATCTGCCAACTAAACCCAACGGTATTATATTTTTACCCCAGTCAAGTAAATTAATCAACATTGACATCTGTCTTTGTCCTCCTTGTCTGTCTTTACATGATTACACAGTCTTTCTTTTTCAGATTGAGGAATCTCAGAGAGCCATCTATTTTGAGCATGAGTCCTTAGAGTTGATGCCAAACCAGGACCAGCTCTTATTCGAACTTAGTCATGCTGTAAGTGTCTTATTTTTTGTTGAAGTGGCTTGACCTCCAATTGAGGAGTTTAAGCTAGAGTACACAAATATTTAGAATTATAGTCTTTTATAAATGGTAATATATTGATTTCTTAAGTGAAGTTTACTACTGATGACTTGCCAATCGCCAAATGGCATTATAGGCCAAACTTTATGATAACAATAAAAACATGAGTTAAGTACATTATGGCTGTCAAGAACTGGAAGAGTCTGGCTAAGATTGAGATCAAGTCATTTAATTAAAGTCCTCTAGGAATAAGTTTTACTTCCAAAGTATTTACTTGCCCAACTGAGTATGAAGGCATTAATAAAGTAGTTGTAATTAGGTCCCTGGAAAAAACAAGCGAGAGGGGTGGTAAAAAAAACGGCAACCCTGTATTTTCCTCATATCTTTGTCATTTTAGGGAATAACCCAGATGCGAGTAGAAATAAGCTTGATTTACGTCATTAAAAATCCAAAATTCAGTCAAAGTAATATCATATTTGAAATCTACATGTAAAATTACATCTAGAAATGTGGTTTTAAAAAGTGTTTATCAACTTTGAAAAATTACTTTTCTTTGAAAATGTGACTTCTAGCTCGGGGAGATTCCCCATAGGCCCCATGCTATAAAATCACAAAAAATGAAATATCTTTTCTTTTAGTGGGCAGATAATATTTTGCTTTACTGGACATGTTTTCATTAGTATACGTATTAGACACATAAGGGTTATATGAAAATTGAGCCACTTATAATTGATAATATTCAAGTTTAAGGGAACTTTCTTATATACCTGCCATGTTAATTGACCCGAATCAGTCACCTGGTGGTGAAACTGGTAACTACCTACTCGCATTTGGGTAATTACTCCCTGATATTTTACACACTTGTTCATCATTCAATTTTCTATCAGCCTACCATATTTCATGACCATCAGACTGATAGTTACAATGTTACAGCACTTTAAACAACATGCCCCATGTGTGGCCATCATCGCGGTTGGGCAAACCTACACAAGTTGTCTATGACCCAACTGAAATCCCCATAAGGTATGACCTGAATGACAATTATGATCTCCTTTTTGAGGTCTGTAATTGTCCTGAAGTCATCACTTTATCTTTGGCATATCCCACAGGTAGAAGTCAGGTTTGAACATTTTGGACGATGGGTGCAAATTTGCCCACAGTGCAATATTGGCCTTTTGAGCATGTTGTTTAAAGTGCTGTAACACTGTAACTATCAATCTGATGGTCCTGAAATATTGTAGGCTGGTAGGAGATTGAATGATGTACACACGTGCCAAATATCAGGGAGTGCTTTTCTAAAATGACAAAGATATGAGGAAAATAGTGGCAGGGTTGCCGTTTTATTTGACCACCCTGCACCTCAGGGGGTCATAATATAACAAGTTCACAAAATACTTTATTCAACATGCAGCTCAATAATAACTCTTTGTAGTATCCTCTCACTTACTGTAAGGGATTTTAAGGGTAGACACCTAGTTTGTCTGCCTTTGACACCTCTTCCGTCTTCGACTAAAATGCATACTAACAGCCAAATGTCCCATGTGTTTTCAGGCAGCATACAGAGATAACACACTAGGATTGCCAAAATTGACCCCACTAGACAAGATTAGTCAGATAGACAGGGGTAACTTACTGACATTCATGCACAACTACCATAGTCCAGAGAGAATGGTACTTGCAGGTGTAGGAATGGAGCACGATGTCTTGGTAGAAATGGCAAAGTAAGGCTGATTATTTGGTTGAAGGGACATTAACTGTAATATTTGGTTCAAAATAACCTAAAAAGTAGATAGATGTACAGTAAAACCTGTGTATATTGAACATTCTTTTTGCCAAGAAAAAACATTCAGTGTTGGAAGGTGTTCATTACAGAGATGGTAGTTTATACAGAAGTAGTTTGTGTGGAGGAAGGGTGTCTACTAGAGACATGTGTTCACTAGAAAGAGATGTTCACTAAGACAGGTTTTACTGTCTTATTATACTTTGACAAATCAGACCTTATCATCAGCCTATGAGAAAATGCAAATTAAACGGCAAAATGAAAAATGTATATATATATCATTTATCGACTCTTTAGATGTCATATCATGACATATTAGTCACTTAGGTAGAGCAGTTCTTCCCATTGTCGAGTTGAAGAACTGGTATCTTTATCCTGGCTAGAACTATAGACAATTCTAGCCAGCGCCAGCCTTTTATCGAGTTAGCAGCACTCTAGTAATCGCCGGTATAGGTCAGCAGTCATAGGTCAAAGACAAATCACAAGAAGTGCTGTGACCTGGGTTTGAACCCAAGACCTCTACTTTTCAGCTTGAAGCCAGACTTCCTGCTTTTCAGACCAATGCCTTAACCACTAGGCCAAACCTAATGCAACACCCTATACAAGATTATTATAAAACATATATTTTCATTTTTGGAATTTCATTCGAGGTTTCAAGCTCAAAAATTGAGAACAAACATGATTTTTACAGGTCTACATGCTCATAAATATTTTCATACTCTAAATTTTTTTACAGGGAATATTTTGAACAAAAGACCCCAACGTGGACGAGTGAACAGAATATTATCAATCCAAATCAGGGTATTGATACAACATATGCACAATACACAGGAGGTCTAGTCAAGGTTAATAATACAATATTGGGGAAGTGTACGAGGGAAGATCCAAAAGTTTCCGGCCTAACATAGTTCTAGTTGATGGATTTTCAAAATGATAGTGTCATTTTTTCAATGTAGTCTCCCTGTACTTCGATGCACTTGGCCCATCTTCTTGGCAGCATCTCAAGTCCAGTTCTGAAGAAATCAGGAGCATGACCCTCCAACCACTGGTTAACAGCTATCTTGACCTCATCATCATCATCAAAGCGTTGCCCTCGTAGAGATTTTTTGAGTTTCCCAAATAGGTAATAGTCACTGGGTGCTTGATCTGGAGAATAGGGTGCATGCGGTAATAATTCCAGATGGCATTCTTCCGCTGCATCACGAGCAACTTGGCTTGTGTGAACAGGTGCATTGTCCTGTTGATGCAAAACTCCAAGACAGACTTCGTGTGGCCTGGTTTCATCAAGTTTAGCTTTTAAAGTACACAACAAAGCAGCATAATATTCTCCATTCATTGTAGTACCTCTTGGAAGGTAGTCTACTAAGGTAGGACATTCACAGTCCCAGAAAATGGTGGCCATCATCTTTTTGTTGGATGGGGTGGTGCGAAACTTCTTTGGGGGTGGGGACCCCATATGTTTCCATTGCATTGACTCATGTTTGGTTGAAGGCTCAAAATGACGCACCCATGTTTCATCACAAGTGACTATTCTCTCCATAAAACCTTGTGGATCAGTGTTATACATGTCCAAAAGCTCTCATTTTGTTTTCATGTCCTCTCTGAGCATACGGGGCACCCATCTTGAGCTTAACTTTTGCATGTGTAAATCTTCATGAATTATTCTACAAACGGTACCATATGATAATCCAGTTTCTTCTACAAGTTCACGTATAGATTTCCGCCTATCTTCCAATATTGTTCGATGTACAAGATCAACATTTCTATCTGAAGTGACATCTTTAGGTCTTCCAGAACGTGGTGCATCATCAATTGATTCCCGTCCACGTTTAAATTCAGCCACCCAAAATTTTACAGTAGAATAGGAGGGAGCACCTTCCCCATACACATCCTTAAGTCTATAGAGATTTCCTGCCCTCCATTTTCTTCTTGATATAGAAACTTTATCACAGCTCTATATTCAGTTTTCTCCATTGTGCAGCCACTGTGACCTGACCTCATTATGAATATTCTCAAAATGAGGCTGTGACCCCTAGAGGTTAATCATATGCATAAATTATGTTCATACATAAGCAACATTTGAACTGTGAAGAATGGTTGCTCTCAGACATCGGGAACTATGTTAGGCCGGAAACTTTTGGATCTTCCCTCGTATCTATGGTATATCAAGTTTGATAAATAATCAGGGTAATTGAACAATACTGAAGAGTCGCATTTAAGGATAAATTGGTTAGATTGTTGTCAATCGTGTTAAAAAAAATTATCAAAAGATTCATAGAAGATCTGTTTTTCATTTTTTAACAATAGCCTTGCTGGATTTGTTTTCTCTACAATATTTCTGTGAATTTTACATTTGTATTTGTAAATAATTTAGGTAGACCAAGTAGAAAGACTTGTATATGTTCAGTCATCATTGTGTAAAACATTGACATTATTACTTAACCTACCTTAGTTATTTTCACATATTGAGTTAAAATAAACAGTTAAACAGTTAAGCTTTTGATTTACTTTTTGTGTCTATTATATGTTTTACAGGTGTCAAAAGACTTGTCAAATGTTAGTCCAGGGCCGAATCCGATGCCTGAGCTTGCACATGCTGTGATTGGCTTAGAGAGCTGCTCCCATAAAGACCCAGATTTTGTTGCGTTCTGTGTGTTGAACATGCTGATGGGTGGTGGTGGGTCCTTCAGTGCAGGGGGGCCTGGTAAAGGAATGTACACTAGGCTATACCTCAATGTATTAAATAGGTAGCGTGATTCACTTATAAAACTGTTTGTTATATCTTATGAAATGTTAGGTCCAGAGCTAGCTTTTGTCAAGGGTTTCACTTTTCCAAAATTTCCAGGAGGGTTCACATTTGACAATTTTGTCTCATAAATGGCTAAAAAAATTGAAAAGTGCTCAAAGTGGTGAAAAACACATGTTTTGAAAGAAACTATGGCCAGGAGGGGGAGGCTCGGTTACGGGCCTGAATGTTTGAGATTACCCAAAAATAATATTCTCTAATTTTTCAATTATGCAAGTACATATATACTTTTAGTGACTCACCCACCCAGCCATGCGATATAGTGCTGGTCATGTAGTATGGAATCATGTTATATTTTTCAAAATAATCCAGCTAGAAAATATATCAGTTAATAATTTAGTCATCTTCATTATCGTCTTTGTATTTTCCAGATACCATTGGATGTACAGTGCAGTGGCAATGAACCATGCCTACAATGATAGTGGGGTGTTCACTATACAGGCCAGTGCACATCCTAATCAATTGAAAGAGCTTATAGAAGTAATTGTCATTGAGCTAGCACATACCAAGGGTCACGTTGCCCAAGTAAGTAGTATAGTTAAACCTGTATTCTTAGGATAAAAATATCCCAGCCAGTTGGGACATGTTCCACTTACAGAGGGTCATTTAAGTCAATTGGTCTCTGGAGTCTCTAAAAAGTCCCCCGAGACCGTCCTAATCATGGATGTATTCTACCTACTACCAACAGAGGTTTTTACTGGTTTTTATGTCACCACCACTTTGGTGATGACATTGTTATGGTCTCTGTTTTTTTTTATTTGATTGTCGAAAGTCAACGAAATGAGACAACTATTCTTTTAGAGTTCCATAGGTATGTTTTCAAGATAGAATATGATAAAAAATTGAATATGTTTCTCTGTTTCAGAGTGAACTTGGTAGAGCTAAGAAGCAACTACAGTCCATGTTGTTAATGAACTTAGAGTCGAGACCTGTTGTATTTGAGGACATTGGCAGACAGGTCCTATCTCAGGGAAAGAGGGAAAATGCTGAACATTACCTTGATGAAATAGGTAAGTTTAAAGATCAGGTCATAACTTCGGATCTTGAAATCAAAAATAACTTTGTATATTTGATAACCTAACTCCTATCATCAAACTAATTCCAATCATCAAAAATAATCTTGCAGAGTATACTTTCAATTTCCGAAGGAAATCACTTCCAGTTAATATAATTTCGCATGATATAATCAGATTGCAGAAACAGCGGTTAAATAGCAGTCTTGCTAGTTCACTGGGGAGTATCGTGATGCAACAACACCGTGTTGTTGCATCAAGATGGCCAGACTTCCGGTGATAGATTTTCGTACGATATTTTGTTTCCCCAATTAAACCCCTTTCTAGGACGAGTTGCTCAATAACAATACACGTGCAGTTAGCGCATGATCTATATTTAAAGAAACTGTCATTAGTATACATGTACCATCACCAAGAAGCAATTAGTTCACGGTTTTAGTTCCTCACTATTGATGCAACAACACCAGACCGAAGATGCAACAACACTCCTCTAGATTTGAGCAATGATGCAGCAACACCAATTAATAGTATCATTTCAGAAGACCATAAATCTCGAGAGGAACAGATTTTTAAATGCTACTATTGCAACACCGTTACCCATTACCCATATTTGCGTTCTTCTCAAGGCATTCAAAATACACGTCTGCGGGCGAAGATCCTTTATATGTATTTTCACAAATTTATACTTTTAAATATTATAATGTACTGGACGTTGTTCTATAACATAGTTCAATCGCCTTTAACATGGCAAGCTTTAGTAAGCCAATCTATTTTCATAAACCACTGTGTTCCATGGCTTGATGACCCTGACTCCAGTCAGTATCATTCAAAATGGTGGACAAACATCTTTCGTTCTCGGTAAACATGATGAGCTATTGGAAATTATCTATCATCCATCTGTGGAACAGTGATAAACTACCTGTAGCGTTATTGCTCTCTTTGGATTCCTTCTCTCTGACTGAGTAAAAAGGTAAACAAAAGTGATAAGATTTAGGGCCCAAAAAGGTAAATTTATAGGGGTACAGTTATCCCAGATATCCCGGGCCCTCGGGAAATATCATATTGTCTCTCGGAATAAAACCAATATTGAATCCCTCTCAGTAAATAACCTTTATATAATAGCATTGTATAACTGCAATATCATTAAACCAACACTCATCCTATACAACTCTTGAGAACGATGTACAACTCCTGGATAGCGTAAACTCCTGAGCAGCGTATACAACTCTTCAACTTGATATATGACATCATACTTTGGGTGGGATAACAAAGGATATACAATATACAATTGTAGACCTCTCTTGAGGTCAACTGGCAAAATTGTATACCGATACTGTAAACCTTGAAAGTAACGGCGTACTCGTTAGTGAATTAATGTTAATTTTAAGTTTCTATTTGTATTTTTGCTATACTTGTCGCCTAGTAAAGTCATTTTCATCAACGTTTACAAAATGCCCGTCTTCCATGTTTTTTTTTGTGACGTCATGAAACTTTTTTTTCAGAAGTAGCGGGCAACAGTACATAATTTTGACCGCTCCGCTCACCCAATCAGAATTGAGTATTTCAGTTGAGGTTCTAACAATACATTTTGTTGCCCGCTCGTCAACCAATCAGAATTGAGTATTTCAATTGTGGTACTAACAACACAAAATGACTGATATCTGTTGTCTTTCCAAAATTATATTAGTTATTTGTAAGCAATTTCCATACGGTAAATCAAGGGCATTTAATTTAGAAAATGTATAATCTTTATTTTTCAGATACAATATCAATGAGATTGCCTCCCGGGGATTTTGTACTTTATTTAGTTTGCCTTGTACTATATCCTTTTAACTTTGATATAGACAAAGAAACCAAACAAAATACGTTTCGTTCATGGACCACTGACCCACGCGTTTTATTCATGTCCCGACCTACACCAGTAAACAGAACATAAAACAGTTCCTCTTGTTGTTCAATGATACATTATATTGGCGTTTTTGCATCAGCACATTGGTGTTGTTGCATCATCGATAAGAAACAGAGTGGTGTTGTTGCATCAATAGTGAGAAATTAAAAACACAAATTTATCGCTTCTTGATGATGCTACGTGTATACAAATGACAGTTTTTTAAAATATAGATCATGCGCTAACTGCATGTGTATGATTATTGAGCAACTCGTCCTAGAAATGGGTGTAAATTGGGAAAATAAAACATCGTACGAAAATCTATCACCGGAAGTCTGGCCATCTTGATGCAACAACACGGTGTTGTTGCATCACAATACCCCCCAGTGTAGTTGCTACACAATTATATCAAAACGTGAAAGTGAACTAAAATATCTACATGTATGTATATATATTACATACCTAGAGAAGCATTTGTATTGAAGCCTATGGAGTTAAAGGTATTCTGTATAGCTGCTAAACTTTTTACCATGACAATTTTCTGACGTCAACATGTACAAAGTGATCTTGACTTGAATCATGTAAAATTTTGGTCTTTTTTCACACATTTCTACATATTATCTTCATGAAATGTTATAATGTACTTCAGGTATGTAATACATGTTTGTTTGTTTGTTTTTATTTTTTATTTATAGTGGTAAGTCTATACAAAATAAAGTCAAACAAAATAAGTTTATGTAAAACAACCCAGCCCACTTTGGGCTTAATAACCACTTCTAATAACATTTAATAACAAGTTCAAAATATAAATATAAGTAACAGGTTCATGGATCACAATGAATACAACAATTATGTTCGTATCATTGAATATATGCCTTCGGTCTGTCGGAAGCTCAGGCTATATTAATAACAGACCTCAGGCATATATTCAATGATAGGGACATAACTGCTAAATATAAAATAACTGAACATGATAAACATGTGCACCATATTGTAGATGTTGAACTCTAAGTCAGCAATGGCTACAGTATCGGACCTTGCTCACAATCTACATGTATACAACAATTTAGCATATAAGACAAATTGAAAATATCTGTATATTTTCAGGTAAGATATCTGAGCATGATATCCAGCGTGTTGCAGAGAGAATGTTGAATTCCAAGCCAGCAATAGCAGCAGTAGGGGACCTTACAAATATGCCAAGTTATGAAGACATTGAAGTAGGACTTGCTAGTGACAATGGAAAAATGCCAAATAAATTCTTTCTCTTTAGGTAGCGATATGTGCAAATTAGGAGATATCCAGGAGCAATTTAGGAAATATGTACCCTTGGCAAGAGCTGAGCTATGTACACTCTTTACACCACAGTATTTAAATGAGAGACCAAATGACTAAATAATAAATGAACCTCTGTAAGTGGAACACCTCCCAAATGGAACACTTTTTAGTGGAACCAAAGGTTCAGGTTTTACACTACTTGTATGTGAATATGTAGAATTATGGTCCCCTAGGGATTAAGTCTCTCCTTTGTAGTATTCGCTTGACTGATTTGAATATATAGTCCATTTGTCATTTTCTTAACGTATGAATATTTAAAAACATGATGTTTTTCTGTGCAAATACTATCATTAGGATTTATTGGAGTGATTTAGCTGGGTTGCCAAAAAATTAATGTTGTGGAAAATTTTTGTATCTATCACCATGGTAACATACCAGGTACATGGTGGTATCCCAACGCTAAGTCAATAGTCAACGCCATGTTAAGCCAATGCACCCCTCCCTAATTAGCCGATATACTTTTTTCCCCAAACTAACTTTTTGTCCAACCCAGTTAAATCACTTCAGAAAACCCTTGTTATTTTAAATTAACCATAAAACATCGTGTTTTTAACAATTCATAGGTTCACTATAGTATGTATAGGGGTGACAAATGGACTAATAAAGATATAAGGAAGTTAGTTGTAACTAGGTCCCTGGAAAAACCAATTGAGAGGTCAACAGTTATCCCAGGGTGCCATAACATTATTAGTATATGTTCACATGCTATCTTAACCTCATTAACATGACATTGTTGGGAGATTATTTCCTTTCTCCACTCATAATCAACACTTGGTTATTTTGTCATTGTATTGAATTCATGTAATATTGATATTCTAGGATGAACAAATTTTTTACATCATGTACATGGCAGTTTTTCTAAACAATGAACAATTGTCTATCCATAATTGTGTTCTCAGGAGGTAAGCTTAAAATATCAATGTGTCTTCCTCTTCAGTAAAACTTGGAGAATATGAACATTGAAATGGCATCATTGAAATTGATATTTCAATGCTTTTAGCCTGATGTTAGTGAGGCTTAAGCCCTGTCCCCCTAAACTAAATTAGCTTAAAGTCCCCGATAAATCGGGCTACGTATACCGCCGTGTTTACATTAGGGAATTAGAAGAGTTTATTTTTATTTAGGTATGCAAACTATATCAATATTAGGCCTTCATTCATGTACTCGTGTGCATGTAATCAGCATGCCCTTCAATATTATGTAAACCAGGCTATTCAAGTACTACATAATGTACACTATTTATGTGTGTACTACATGGGAATACAATTCCCTGGGAAACAAAACACAAATACTTTTTATATGTTCAAAATGAGCCATTCGATTGATACATACACTAAATAACATCTACAAAGTATATCTAATAGTAATTTTAATTTCAATGGTGAAACTTACTTGGTTACGATTATACGGTGAATCAACACGGAACGAAGATTGTTCACCTTCCTGGCTTACCTCTGCCTGTACCTGGTAATCTCTTTATATAGCGAGAGCGGTGCACCTGCGCAGTTTTAAACTTTGGCGCACACTTTAAGGGAAAAATAACACATTGATTTTTAACTCATCTGATTAGAGGTCATTGTATTTGGTTTGCATATAAAATGCAATAACCTGTTCAGATGACATTGTAGGCTCTCCATCATTGAATAATAAATCTTTGGATGACAGTTGTGTAGACAGAGATGTTCTCTGTGAATTATGAATAATGAATTTAGCTTCTATTTATCTATTAAGCCATGTTGCATTCTCTTTTTATGTTCGATGATTTATCAACTGGATTGCCTACATTTAAGTTTGATTAAAAGAGCATCATGGATTTAATATGAAAGAAGCAAATAGGTAGAAATTCAATGTAGACTTAATGGAATAGCTTTTATTAAAACTGTGTACAATGGTGTCATTTCGCAAGCTTACATTAACTCAGCTTACCTTAACCTGTTGTTTTTAATGTTTCACAATTACTATGAAGTTATTATTTGGTAACCATGGCAATGTAACACTCACATATGATAGGGATCACATGCATTTGCTAGACCTTCAATGTAATGTCAAAAGCAGTAGCCCTATTAGTCAAAAACGCACAATGGTATCATATTTTGAATAAGGTCCCATAATTTTTTGTAGTTTGTGTCTTTTATAAAGGCATGTGTCATGTGTGATTTATAACAATGAATTCAAAAGTATGTGTGCAATTTATGTTTTTCATCTACACAAAATAAATTAGCAAAATTTGTGAAAATGTCTATAAGAATCAATTGAAGTTGTGTCTGTAATTTGGTAGGGTCTGTTTAAATGTGTCATACGATTACACACTACACAGAGACATATAAAATGTTTCATATGTCTCTGGATTACAGAATAGTATAGTTTCCATATAGCTTTTGAAATCTCGCTAAATCTCGTTTTTCGTGAGATTTTCAGAGACTTGTATATTAGACCTCTAATGACTTACATTACCTTCTTTTAAATGGCATATTTGAATTCATTGAAATGTTTTCTCCAATAGCTTTGATTTACACAGTTATATAATTTGAATAATTTTCTATGACAATTTAAAAAACTTGGGCCAGATGTCCATATCACAACATGTACATAAACAGAGTCATCATGTGGTATATCATTCAAGTTTTATGCAGATTCAACTAACACACTTTGATAAATCATGAAATTAAGCCACTTTTCCAAGATTTTAGCATGTACAGGGTGTCCAATAAATAAGGTAAAAGATATTGTAACTTTCTTAATATTGCACCAATCTTGATGAAATTTTCAGGGTTTGTAGCCCAAACCTTTTTACCTTTATTCTGTGAATTTAAAGCGTCTTCTATTTGATTGGCCAGAGTTGTGGTTGCTATAGCAACCGAAACAACAAAAAGGCGGGGCAAGTTTGTTTACGTCACAACTTTCCAAAACATATGTATTCTTTCTGATAGCTTTATTCATACCCCGTGTCTATTACTACCACAAATACAATATAAAAACAGTCCTTATGTCCCATTGTTATGAAAATAAGCTATTCAATATAATGTCCATCTCTAGCTATACAACTTCTTATGCCTATTCACCCACTCTCTAAACACACTTTCAAACCCATTTTTGCCCATTTCCTGAAGTCTTGCTAAGACATGTGATCTGACTTCATCAGTACTTCCAAATTTATTTTCTCTCAAGTCTAGAGTTCTGCATATAAATAAAAGTCATTGGGTCCAAGGTCTGGGAAATATGGAGGGTGTCCAAGTAGGGGTAGCCCCAGTACCCTAATAGTTTCACTAGTGAACATAGCTGTGTGTGAACTCAGATCACATGTCTTAGCAAGACTTCAGGAAATGGGCAAGAATTGGTTTGAAAGTGTGTTTAGAGAGTGGGTGAATGGGCATAAGAAGTCGTATAGCTAGAGATGGACATCATGTTGAATAGCTTGTTTTCATAACAAAGGTACTTTAAGACTGTTTTTTATATTGTATTTGTGGTAGTAATAGACCTTGGAGTATGAATAAAGCTATCAGAAAGAATAAATATGTTTTGGAAAGTTGTGACGTAAACAAACTTGCCCCGCCTTTTTGTTGTTTCGGTTGCAATAGCAACCACAACTCTGGCCAATCAAATAGGATACGCTTTAAATTCACAGAATAAAGGTAAAAAGGTTTGGGTTACAAACTCTGAAAATTTCATTAAGATTGGTGCAATATTAAGAAAGTTACAATATCTTTTACCTTATTTATTGGACACCCTGTATGTGAACGGAACTCTAGCCCAAGTTAAAAGCTGAATAAAAGATGGCAGCACTAGATTTCATTGATTTTTCTGCCATTTAGAAACTATCCTATTGTATGGATCATGTTTGTTTGGAGCACCTTGGTTTTATAAATAAACCGAAAAGCGGTACGTTGTTGTACACACATGTTTGGTTTATTGATTTATTTATTGATGTACAGGGTGTCCAAAAGAACAGGAATGAAGAAAAGTTGAATAACTCGGTCAATATTGCATATTTTGCCTTGAAATTGTCTCAGGTCCTGTTTTTTGGACACCCTGTACATTTGGAGCCAGTTAGAAAAGTATTCTTTTTAGCCAATGAATTAGAAATGAGTAAAATGGATAGAGCCGAGTTGAAAGCAAGACCTTGAAAAAGTGATCAGTTTTTGGCAATGATATTTATTTTTTAGCTCTCATGTCATGTCTATTTTCCTTGTCCAATAGATTTGACTTTTTCCATTTATTTCGAATAACCCTTTCTATTAAATTATTTAAGGTAATTGTGCAATAGTTCTGAAAACTATTTTTCCCCTTTTGAATTCTCCTTTGACATATTTTGCCGAAATACTGTAGCAAAATGATTTTAAAAAAGCTTTGGAAAAGATTTGGAAATCGTGTGCATTACTCCTTTGAACGAGTCCCCTTAAATGTTGAATGAGTCCCCTTAACGGTTTTTAACACAACTGTGTCAGGTTCGACTGTCTCACAATCAATGCCCCCAGCAAGACGAGCATTAACGTTATAGATATTTATGTTAGTAAGCAGAGAGAATATGTTCACCGTGATGTCATAAGTTTTTAGAAATATACATGTCTAGTGTATCCAAATTTTAAATAAGTGAAACACGATAACGGGACTAATTTGTGATGGTTTCCATATCTAAAAATCATATTTTGATCATCAGTATTTTAGTTCTAGTATCCACTGTAGGGATGTTAATTCAGTCAGGATATACTGAATATATTTCAACGACATTCTTAATACAGGCTAGATATCCAAATCTGGTAATGTCTCAACCTAAACGATATCGTAAACAAGAGGTGATTCCATCAAAATTAGCAAAAGATGAGCTAATTTCAAGTGATCAACCAAAAGATATGAAAAATGATGAAGAGCATGTGCCAACGACCACAGTTCAAAATAACACGAAACTGACAACACTGGAACCATCTACGATGAGTGAAAGTCTTGAGTCAGAAACGATGACATTTAAAGAGTTACCAACACAATTGCCAAAGTTATTGCTAAGCACCTCGACAAGTAATAATGAAATAACACAGGCTCGCAAGGTGGACTCAGACAAATATATCGTATTTTTGTGTGGTGAGGGCATGTTGTGTGGAGGATTAGGAGACAGGTTGAAAGGAATACAAAGTACATTTCTCCTTGCATTGATGCTAAAACGAAAATTCCGGATTATTTCTACGATACCATGTGATTTATACAATCAACTTGGAGAAAACAGAGAGCCATGGCATCGACCAATCCCTCCTGGTCTGAAGAGCAAAACTTTAAGAATGATAAATGGGCACAGATCGTGTGGATATCAAATATTTGGGAAAATAAATGGAACAAACATGAACATTGATGCTAAATTCCCAGAACCTGTTATAAGAATAAGAACTAATCAAGAATGGACGCCAAGATTCCACGAGGAGCCCTATAAAACAATTTTATCTGATCTTGGTTTAGATATATCAAATTTTACAGAAAAGTACTTGTTCTCAAAAATATATGATCATTTATTCAAACCACAACCAAAGATTCTGGCATTGTTTGACAGATTCTTGAGTAAGGCCAGACCAAAGCCTGGAATCAAACTAGTTTGTGCTCAAGTAAGGAAGGGGGCTAACCCATCAATACCAAGAGAATCATCCAAGAGAATAAGAAACTATGACGAATGGCTACCAATTCTTTGGGATTTCTTATCTTTATATAACGACTCGTCAAAATATACTATTTTCGTAACAACTGATTCTCAAGAAATACGAGAACATTCACAAACGCTTTTCCCTGATACTATCATAGACACGGAGGGAAAAATCACCCATGTTGATAGGTTTGATAACAAAGATGATGCTTGTAAGGGAATGGAAAAAACAATCCTAGACTTCACTATCCTTGCCAACTGTGACATAACGGTTGTTAGTAGAAGCAACTTTGGGAAACTTTCCTCGCAGCTTCAGTCCCCGGCATCCAAGTTGTATACATTTCAGCGTGGGATACTCCATGAGGGACCAGAGGGTAACCAAGTTGGCAAGGTGTTCAACAGAACAACTAAAGCATTCACAGATGATTGCAGCAACGTACAATGTCCCCAATCTAGAAATATATGTACTTAGGAACTATGGTTTCTGGGACTCCCGGTACTTTATTATAGGCATAAAATTATAGTTCGAAAATAATAATGAAAATATTATTTCTTTTCAGAACACATTTTAGATGAATCTAAGCTTAGCGTGTAGATTTCAATACCCTGACTGAATTCTGAACCAACCATTTGTATTCCACTCTTCTATCGTGATAAATACTATCTAGTATACAATTTCACCAGGTACAACAGTGGCGGATCCAGGAACCAAGAAGGGGGGGGGGGCAAAGTTCCGGTCATAGAAAAAAAAACTTCCGCGGAAAAAATTGTGGGCCCCTAAAACCGAAAAGTGGGCCCAAATTTTGAAATTTCGAGGCCCATTTTCTTCAAAATTTGGCCTGAAATTAAAAAATAAGGCCTTAGAAGGCCTAGTAATGACCATAAAGGACCATTTTTTGGGTCCTTAAGGCCTTTTTTGGCCCAACATTTTTGCCCATGCTCCCCCGGATCCGCCACTGTACAATGTTTTCCTAATAAGCTGCCTGTTTGTGTTGACGTGGCCAGAGACTATTTTTTGTCAGGCCTATTTACTTTTTCATGATTTCATTTGAAATTAACAATCCACAATTCACATGATTTATTCACGTACATTTATCTAATGAGTTAAAAAACATTTTATCGGTTGTGATATGTGTTTATGTCAAGCCTAATGGAAAGAAAGGCATGATGCATCTACGCAATGGCATCGCCCCCATTCTTGCATCCAACATTGCGCTCACTGAGAATCTGTGTTATACTGTACATATTTTGTTTTATGGAGATTATCAAGAAGCCTACCCTGCGTGCAGAGTCTAGTTAAACTACGAAGTTAAAGACGAAGCTCTCTTTTAAGAAGTGAAGTCAAACGAATGCAAAGGGTACAAGAAGCAGTGAACTGGTTGGACAACGGAAGGGTCAACCAGCTTATCTTTTGGCTCGAAAGGATGCTGTCCAGCAGGGGTATTACATGTACATATATGTAATTCAAAGATTAATTGATGACTTGTAATCAAGAGCTTTAATAGTATTCAGAAAGTACAGGTCCATAATATACTGTGACAATTTAGCTCTTTCAAATGGTGATGAGCTTTGTTCTATCACTATACCTAAGATTATTATACCCCAAAAAATTGTTGAGCCAAAAAAGGCCTTCAGGTCATTACTGGGCCTTTTAAGGCCGTATTTTCTAATTTCAGGCCAAATTTTAAAGAAAATGGGCCTCAAAATTTCAAAATTTGGGCCCACTTTTGGGTTTTAGGGGCCCAATTTTTTCCCCGCGAAAGCGCGGAAGTGTTTTCCTCTGACCTGGAATTTGGGCCCCCTCCTTGTTGGTTTCCAGATCCGCCCCTGTAGAAGTACCTGTACATGTGGAATGGGGGGGGGGGCTTCAGAGGCTTAATGCAAGACTAATCATGAAAAATCAATATCAAAATCCTTGTTATTTTTTACTCGCCTACATGTACATCTAGCCGACATGTACAGGTAGGCTTAAGCTTATTGCTTGGATCATGGGCTCTATCAGAGGTGGTAGAGCCCATGCTTGGATGATGATTGAATTATTGAAATACTCGATCATTGGCATTTAATGTCAAGATACCTAGATACAACTTAAACGATTTAAAATCTATTGTTATCGATTTTTCGTCAAGTGAGCATTTACAACAATTGCTACCAGTAATTCAGGTTCACTACAAATGAAATCAATAATCTTGTTTATAATCGTTTTGCTGTCCCGGGAATGAGCATAAAGATACTAATTTCGTTCGGTGTTTTCAAATTCGGACCCCTTATACAACTTGGTTGATTAAATTATTTGAATTAATATTTAATATAATTAATATATTTGTTTGATATCTTTATATGTGTCCAGTGAATGTTGCAATTTGGATTGTATTTCTACTGTTTCATGTGTTTGTGTAGTGAATATAGTGTTTTTCTATCGTTGAATCGCCAATCACACAGGGGTCTCTTTTGTTACTGTAGCGACCGCCGCCATGTAAACATCAATACACGGATCGAATCACAATTCACGGCGAAGCTGAAAGAATTACACGTATTTCTAATATAAACCGAATAAAAATCAGCAAAATAGTAGAAAAGTAGAAAAATGGCAACCCAAGTAAGAGGAATACAGGATGAGAAACCATGGTTTTACACAGCAACAGGACTTTTAGGCGATAAACGTGACACAATGTTGGACAATCAACTTTTGTTGAGGGTGAGTTCTGATTCTGAATTTCCTTCACAGTGATTTATAGGCTTATCAGTGGTGGCCACCTAGATTCAATGGGTCTTACTTCTGGACCTAATAATTCATCTTAACTTAGTTGCAAGGTTACATGAACATTAAATAATCATCTACACTAGATAGTGATTTTGTAAGCCTGTGCTCTGATAGAGCCCATGACATGCCTAAATGTAAACTGCACTTGGTTGGCAACAGACAACATCATATTTTGTAGGGAGTCTCACTAGACCATCTGTCAACTTAAAACTAATGTTTTTATTTTTGATTACAGCCCGAGCTTGGTCGTCCACTAGAGAGGGGATACTCTGTCCCTAAAAGCTTTACATTTGGTCGACCAAATGGTCTGAAAGATGGTGGAGCATCAGAGGCACTTCGAGGTTGGACCAGTTCAATCACACTGCCTTTACACAGACAGAAAGAACTTAAAACAGAAAGAGACTTTATAGGACTTAACAAAGCAGCTGTTCAAGCTGGTCTTATCTCAGCCCCAGAACAATATCACTTTAGAGCTTCACATGATGTCAGAAGAAATGTTGCGACAGAAGAAAAGAGTAAAACACGATCCAGACGGTTACCACCCACCATGGTGTTTGGTATATCAACAAGGTAAGCCAAATATATCAATGCTTTAAATATGATGATATTTATTTACAAAACTAAAGCATTAAATGGTATGACATTTTATATAAAGGATCTAAACATTTTAATATTCTTGCATCAAGCCCTTTGCTCCACTTTCAGTTTTCTAACTGGTAGAAGGAAAAAAGGGATGACTTTATACAGAACTATTGAATAAATCTGTTCATGTAATGACCCACTGTTGAATTATAACTGTATCATAAAACATATGTTCACAGGGATTAATATTTTTATTTATATTTCAGACCTTCCACTCCAGTATTCGACCTTCTAGAACACAAATACCAAGATAAATGGCTAGCAGAAAGACGAGCGGCTGATCTAGCCAAGCGAAAGAATGAACAAGACACTAAAAGAACCACTGGGAAAGTTTATGAAACTAGGGCTTCCCTTCTTAGAACATACCAAAATCCAGTTGAACCAGCTCCCTTATGGCAGATGCCCAGATTCAGTAGAAATGTAAGTTCCACCTATATTTACTTTCCTGAATAATCGCAATATTAACATTTTAAGTTTGCATCCCCTTGACAAGCTGACAAGTATAAACCAAAAGTTTTCAAATTTGGTACATGGAGTTTAATATTTTTTTTTGTACATTATTTATTTGGCAAATATCTGGGATGTAAAATAGACATGTATGTAGAGAGGGCATCATTACCAACTTTGGCTTAAAATAAAGGTTATTTAAAGAATGATGATGACATATGATAGTTACATTTCATTTTTTGGAAAAATAAAGACAAGTAACAAAACAAATATCAAAAATATGTAATGAAATCCTGATTTGAATGTCAATGTATTAATTGAACAAAAATTGAACATGCACAATTTTATATTTTCAGGCCCATCCACACTTAGAAACATTCCGTAATGACAATCTCAAAACATCTGCATTCAAACACCATGAAAGTGATGGTATTTCAAGGAAAGGCGCATTTGCACATGGAATATATGAGCCAGCCAAAAGTTAATACAATGGAACAATATTAGACTATTACAAATTAACATTAACACCATCTACATAATTACATCTATACAATATAGATGGCGTAAACAACACTTGCCTTGAAAACAGACAATCTTTTTACTAGCAGTGACCTCTATAATGAAATGTAAAAATTATTTTCATGAGCATTTTTATTTAGATTTTTACAGTAATGATGTTTCCTTTTAGATCCTCAATATGAATTTTTAATTGATGGAACTTAAATTTTAGCAAGTTTTTATCCAATTAAACTGCAATATGTATATAGTTTATGTAAATAGTACTATAAAGGTGTATGTATTGTATATATTATCAGTGAATCAAATGGACAAAAGTATTATATGGATTTCTGGATATATCTAGAGATGCAAAGATGTATGTTGCCTAGTTGAATTGGAAATATTCTTCAGTTCAAATAAAGGAACTGCATTTGTTTTGTAAGAGAAAACCTTAAAGGGTTTATTGTTTTTTAAAATAATATAAATAAATGATATAATTTATTAAAAAATATAATTCATTATTTGTGCATTGGATGTGGAAGATTGACATGGTAAAAATAGAGATTGAACCTTTCATAAGGACGTCATAGTACTTAGTGAAAAATTGGAATTTGCTTTTTGTAAAATTTCTATTCTATATTGGTATTCGTTCCTTTGAATGAGCTAAGTCTCTTGTCAAGACCCGGTGTAAAAGTAATAGTAGTCCCAAGGAAGCACGGTCCTACGGACCGTGCTTCCTGGGTTTATACATCCTATGGATTGTCAATCCCAGTGTTTATGGTCTCAATAGGACTGTAATTCCTACTGTTATATATTAATAAGACCATGGACTATAATCACCAATGGACTTCTGTTCCTTCCACACCAGTGAAAGAATAAAATGTCCCGGACATTTAATCCCAATTTTATTGTCCCGGACTTTTATATCTAGGTCAAAGAGACCGTCATTTTACATATATTAAAAGAGTTATGCATAAATATCAATAAAAGTTGAGTCTGTTCGTCTCACCTTTCTTGGCAAAATCAATAACGACTTGGTCCAGTGGCCGAGAGAATAGTGGTTCGATCCCTATGTGAGTCAACTTTTTTTTTTTAATCTCAATACAGTTAAACACTTTTTAAGTATCCCAACACCCCATTTTAAAGAAAATGTCATATTTAAAAAACTCAGATGTTTAGTTAAGCGTGGCCAACCTGGGTATAAATTGTTGCACGTGGTATATGTTATTCCTTTGAAAAGTGGATGCCAAGATGAAAACACAACTGGACATAAATGTTATTTATCAATATGTCAGGCAAAAATCGTATCCACCAGGTACAACAGTGAATGGAAAGAGGGCTATAAGAAGAGCTTCGACAACAAATTTCAAGGTAATGTTAATTTATTCACATTATAAAGTCAATCGTACCCAGATAATAACGTCCGACGCCACAATGAGGACACTTCCTCCTGAAATATGTTCGCAAATGTAGTCCTCGAGACTTTTCCCTCGGGTTACGACGTCCGAAAACATACACAGGGACAATCTATCCTTGTTTATATCCATTTTAGTAGTCCTGGACTTTCCCCTCAGATTACAACGTCCAAAAACAACCACGTGGACCTTGTCAATATCATTTTTATGTCCTGGACTTTTTGCCCCAGTTTAAATCGTCCGAAATTACACATATAACCAATTCATCATTGTAAATGTGGATACATTTTTATTAAGGTAACTCTGTATAATAGAAATTTTGATGCACTCCTCCATAGATCAACATGTTATTTTTCAAATATCGATCACGCCTTCCCAACATTGTCCACATCTTTCAGTTTTGCACAGAGTGCACTAATGTACCTAGAAAAGACTGTCGAGAAGATTTTTTGGATAAAATGTATAAAAACTAGAAAATTCAATGAGAACATTTTCTGAAAATTTTCTGAATTTTCTCATTTTTTATACATTTTATCAAAAAATCTTCTCTACAGTCTCTACATTAGTGCACTCTTTGTACAAAACTCAAAGATGTAGACAATGTTGGGAAGGCGTGGTCGATGTTTAAAAAAATAACATGTGACTCTATGGAGGTCTGCATAAAAATTTCTATCATACAGAACAACCTTAAATCACATACTTTTCGTATTTTGTTCACGTATGTTATGTTATGTTATGTTATGTTGTTCCTCCGTTTTATTGGAGAGAAAAGAATTATTACATCGTACTTTACATAACGTATATTAGACATTGAAAAGTTATCAAAGGGATTATAACTGCGATAGCACCATCCACATTATGGCACCATCCGCATTTCGGTTGTCTCAAACTCCAGGGCCATTCACATTATGGTAGTTTCAGACCCAAACACTGTTCAGATTCAGTAGCTAATATTTTTGTATTCCATTATTCTATTTTCAGATTGAAAGGGGGGTGCTCATGCACAAAGTTTGTACTAAATCTGATGAGTTACATTGGACCAAAGTTCTTGAGAGTGAAGAACATGGAGAGGCAGCAATGGTTGAGTGCCATTCTTCAAGCATAGGTTAGCAATAAATAATGCCATAAACTAATATTGCAATTAACTAATAATGCAATATAAAAGGGGATATTTGAAATGTACATTGATTCGAAAACATTGTAATTTAATGTATACACAAAAGGTACTGAAAGCTATTTCACTTTTGTTCACATACAGGAGGTCCAAAACAATGTTTACATTTTATCGACTTCCACGATATGATTTGCAACTACTGATAACGGACATAATTGAAAACCTCCTAATAAGTGCTTGAAATAATAATACATTAATTGATAAAATATGTAATGGTATAATAATGGTAATCGTGGAGAAGAAGTAAATAAATGTAATAACTTTACAGGATTTGGCAGTAGGTTCATTAGTATTGATGCGCAACTTGAAGACAAGACAGAAAGGGGGGCAAGACGGAGGAGCCGTGGACTGGCCCCTTCGAAATTGCAGGGGTGGAGAGGGCAGGGATCTACAAGATTAAAAATAAAAAAGGCCAAATTTTTAAAAAATCCGTAAATGGCTGTAACTTAAAACAGTTTCACCAATAACTCTCGAATAATGATGTAATAATTATTAGTATATAATTGTAAGAGTGCATACTGTACGTCTGACGTCGAAAAACGAAACTGACGTAACAATTCGCAAATAAAAGTGTAATGTGACATACTAGTAATTTGTTTGTTTGTTTGTTTATTTGTTTTTGCGACGCAGGCCTAAAGATAACTGTAGCATATCCAGACTATAAATCTTAGGTGTGATAGTCCGGTTGAAATCTTATGGATAATTAAATCTAGGTTTACAAGTCCACAAGAGACAATAAATCCCATAACCAAGACGTTCATTACTAAGGTTTAGAAGTCCGAGGGAATATAGATTCTAGATTTTAAAGTCCAGGATTTGTAAACCCAGGAGTTAGAGTCTATCGGACTTTCAAAATAGGAGACCGTATAAACTTTCACACCGGATTAGCACATTTCATATTAAAGAGTTCAATGACCTGCAAGCTATTTGAACTGATATTAACAGGTGATGTTTTTTCCTTAATTTGTCTTAAATTCTATTTTACTATGTCTCCCATCAGTTGGACATAAAACAAAACATTTGAGAATTATACATCAGTTCCACATGCCTTGCTATTGATACACGCTATACTGTTTGAATGTTCTTCACTTTTTTTTCGTTTAACATATTGTGATTGGCCGAGAAGTCAAAGTTTGGGAGAGAAGCATGTGTTCAATATTCCTTATCAGGACCACAGGTCGGTCACCAATATGTAACATAAAATTCCTTATTTGAATCACATGTTACAAAATTAGAATGTTGAGTTGAGTTGAGTTCAGCGACTGAAAAGCTTTGACATTTACCATAATATCTACCTGTACATTGTATATCGCGACCAGTCAAATGATTGCAGATTTTTTCTCTTACCTCTTCCACTCTAAATTATCAAAAGCACACAAAATGTATAGACACTATTCACTGGCGGATCCAGAATATAGCGTGTGGGGGGATGGGCACATCTCAAGTCAGGAAAAAATGGCCGGCCCCTAAAATTAGGTCTTAATTTTGAAAATATAAGGCCCATTTTGGAAAGGACGATTCTCGGTTTGGAGAACGAAGTTCTTCAATCTAAATGAGCATTATCCCTGTTTCGGACAAATTTGATTTTTTACATAATATAGATTTGAATGTTTTCTTTTGAATAGTCATAATTTAATTTGGGTAATATTTTTAGATTTTTCGCAAAAAAATATTAGCGCAGTACACTGATGAACTTCTTTCCCAAAAATCAAGACTTTATTTTATTGAATCGGTCTAATTGAGTATTATCCCTGCTTCCGACCAATTTGTTATTTTTACATCTTGTAGATTTAAATATCCTCTTTTGAATATTCATAGTTTAATTTGGGTAATATTTCTATTTATCCCACGATTAATGTGTTATCTGTACAATAACAGCTGTTGATACTTCTGATATTATTGAAATCCGTGTGATATTTTCCAGAAAATCGTTTATCAAACTCATATGCGTGTGATATCGTTTATCTCACGCATATCCGTGTGATATCACATTTGCATTTCGCGCCACAATATTGTTGGAAATTAGGTCAGATAATTTATTCTCTTTTGAGAAAATAGGTCCATTAATTTATTCTCTTTAAATTTCATTGGTGTATTGAATAACGATTGTGTATATAATTTGATTAGAAGGCTGCTAACTTACGATTAAAAAATGGTATTTATGACGAACTATATCATGTTATTTACTTTTAATTGTTAAAATAAAGTGTTTCAAATATTCAATTGATATTCTAATTTCTAGTTTATATTGTCTGCCAATGTCCTGGAAATTGGATCAGAACATCACAAGGTGATTGTAATCATGGGATAAACCCAATATCACATAATTTCTCGTGATATCATTTTATCGCCTCGTAGATATCAAATATCAACACTCATTCGCTTCGCTCACTCGTGTTGATATTTGCTATCAACTCGGCGATAAAAATGATATCACTCAAAATGATGTGATATTCTGTATATTTTTCATGAAAAAAATTATTAGCCCAGGAGACTGTTCTCCAAACCGAGAATCGTCCTTTCGCCCAAAAAGGCCAAGTATGCTCAAAAGGCCCACTTTTTGAGGCCTTACAAAATATTTTTCTGGGCCCATCCAAAGGGGGGGGGGGGGGGGGTGGCCGGGCCCCATGCCCCCCTGGATCCGCCAGTGCTATTTATTCTGATATCTTGTAATTATGTATGACAATCCTGATGCCTAACTTCTAATTATAAGCTTTGCAACCACAAGTACCGCTTTTAATTGCTATTTTGGAGTGCATTTTGATTACGCACCACGAATAACAAATGCAATACTTGGGCCATTGGGCTTTTTTTTAAAAGTTCAAATAAAGTGGAGCTCAAGGAGGATTAGAAGCCGTTATTCAAACTCCATACTCCGTTGCCCGGCGTTGACCAATTTGGTAAAAATATTTCTCATATTTTGAA